AAACTAGGCTCCGTGGAGTTGTTTCGCTCAAACGTGTTAGTTTCTCTCCCCTTAGGTCGACCGCGCCTGCCGTGTCTTCCGCGTCTGCCGCGTATGTTCGTTAGTTCTATTTCGCAGTTTGAACGATTGTAGTCCCCTGTGCCCGTTTCTCTTTCCTCCTATTCTCGTCGGTAAGGTGAGATCGCTGCGTCGCCGAGACAATCGGAAACGTGCACCGCCATTACGAGACCCGTTTTCGCGCGACGATTCAACAGACCTACCGCAGTGTGTGCTTCCTCGTCTGCCTCGTAGTAATACGATTCCCGTGAATCGGGCTGGAGGAGATCGTACGCGTGAAACACGGTAACCCATCAGGGAGCTTTGCGGCCGCCGGTGGAAGAAGGCGCTGGAAAATTCCCTCTCGGTGTCGACGGATCTTTCCCTCGCTTTGATTCGCCGGCGAACGTCGCGGTAAATACCATAGAAACTTCTTCGGATTTCCATGGTATCTACGATCTTCCCGATACCCCGAACCTCCTCGTGATTACGCTGTCGGGCATGCTGTGCAATTGAACTGAACGGCATAACTCATTTCCATGGAGTGTCGCGTCGAGTCCGTTCCTCGTCTAATGGCCGTTCCCGGTTGGGATCGGCCATTTTGCTAACACGTTGGTAAAAGCTCCTCCACACACCAATATTAGCCTACCTATTTAAAAGCCTAGTTTAGAGAACATAGTCGTAAGTTAGAATTAAGGTTTAACGTAGGGGCTGGAAGCTGATTATCGCTGACGCCTCTACCCGGGCAGGTCAATTAGTGTCGTGATCGCTCATTCGAATATGAATGGGCGATTCAAAAGTCGCGTCATGTTGTTCAGCGACGTTGCTTGCAAAGGAGGGTGGATGGGACGACGGAGTTAGGGCGAGTCGCCGCCTGCAGCAACCTCCACGTGGTGTGACTTGGGAAATTCGTGTTACTTCCGCGACAGCGCTGAGGTAACGCGAATTTGCGAATGGCTGCAGTATTGTTACTTATTTGAGAATAAAACGATGATCAAGAACGCAGAATATTCTTCAGTATGATCCTCTTGAAAAATAAACCCGGTATCCTATGGCTTCGACTGTTCATGTATTCATCAAAACCATTGCGTGTTTCATATCATGATAACGTCACCGCTGATCAACATATCGAAGCGTGCATACAAACGAACGTAAGTTTTAACGTTTAAACGAGGTTATTTAGTAATAAAACCGAATGCATTTCGAGTAAAAATATTTCCCCTCTCCTAACGTGCAATTTGCAACGTTACCGTCCACGGTAGACGCGACGCGAGCGGCCATCTTCGTGAAGGAATGTGCGCATCGGATTCTAGCGTGAGGCGGAAAGAAAATGGCGGTGAAAACATGGAAGCGGGATTAAGAAAACGATCGAGGGCTTCGCTGATATCGAAGCAGCGGGGCGCGGAGAGGAAGGGTTCGATAAAGAGGAATGAAGGAAAATTAAGCTCGCGACGGCAGTCCGCGTTATCGGCAGCCAATCCGCTGTTTGTATTTACCAAAGGGTATATACAATGTGCGTTGATCGTGGATCGGACGGCGACTGCGATTAGAACGTGCAACAGTCGTCGACCATCGATCGGCACGTTTAGTGAAACGTCGTGCCGCGTGCTGGCAGACGGTCTCGTTGGTATGCCGAGCTTTTCTTTCACGTTCCATCGAAAATCGAAGCGTTGCCACGAAGCTACTCCGAGAGAGCACATTTGCACGCCTCCGACTTAGGCGGTATGTATTGAAAGGAATCCGAGCGCGTGCATATAGAACGAGAGCGTAGTAGATTTTCTATCCTAACCTCGACTCAGCTATCGTCGACGATAATCGTGTCCGTTGCTTATCGTTCATCGACACCCGTGCTTCGCTTTTGTTCCTAATTCCTGCTAAATCGAGCTCGCACCGTGGGTGCCTCGAGTCTCGACACGGTCGTTCCTACGCGTGCGAACGTGCATTGTCCTATTGAAATCGGCACGACAATTGTAATGCGTCGGTGGGAAACGTTCCATCGATAAGAATAGAACAGCCTTATTGATTAAGCAGCACGGTTTTCCACGTCTCGTCGTTCGGAGACTTCGCGTAGGATTCGGAAATAATTTGAAGCTTTATCCGCGAGTCCATCTGGCATCGCGACTCGTTCGAAGGGCATTAAACGGTGCCTTACGCGTTTCCGAGCGAGAGAGAAACGTGTAGGGACAAAGTTCATAACCGCTTTTTGCGTGTTATGTTAATTTTCTGAATAACAGTCGATCTGATTGTCTACTCAAGGTTGCCGGGTCTTATAGACATTGTTGCAGAAAATGAAAAAAGGAACGATGACAAATGGCCGTTTAGCGAAACGGTGAACGCAGTCGATAAAAGAACGAGCCACGAGCCGGCGCCGTATCGTTCGTGTCGTGAGTTATTCCTTTAATTTAACCGCATTAATATTCCTCGGTTTCCTCGAACGCGCATAAGAATGATAAACGTACCGCCACCGGCAATGAGTAACTACGTGAAGTCACGTTTCCACGTGGACACGCGCTCGGCGAGTTGCACGCTCGAGCCGCAGGGAAAGAACCGGTCACCCGTTGCGCGCGGACCTTTACGTTCGTTCGGTTTTCCATGGTACACCGCGGATGCTTATTTGCACGTAGCTAGGTCGCGCGGTCATTGTCTTGCGTTGCAGCATCATGCGGGATTTAATATTCCACCCATACATTGACCAATGTATTTTTGTCCTTTCAGAAGACCGAATCGTTGCCTTGATAGCCAGATAAACCCGTCCGGAGGAATAAAACGATTAAAGCGATGGTGGAGCATGGAAAGCAGAACCGTAACGTTCGCCTGATCAACAACGATGCCGAGCGGTGAGCCAAATAGATACCGTAGATTTCCAATGATCTTCGCGAATCCATTGTTCCAGCAAATTAGCCGCAAGCCTCGTTGCTAATCGTTTTCAGCGCAGCTCATTCGCTCGAAGGACGTTCCAATAGAATCGATTAGAAAACGGACGTGAAAGTCCGACTGAAAACCTGCGTACAGTTTCACGTGGGAAAAGAGAAAGAAACATTATCCTTCGATAATCTAGCGTCGCATTGATCTATGGGCAGCGGTGGCCTTGCAGCCGCATCGCCTCGATGCAGCGAGAGCTATATTCGTGATAAAAATTTTAATAAGTCTCAATGACTTCCTTCGCCGCTCCGCGGCCTCAGAACCCTTCCACGGGCGTGCCATTGACAGTGAATCGATATTTATGCATTCGGATGCGATATTCATGCGTCCCTCTGACTCCGGCTCGGGAATAATCGAGTTCACCGTCGAAAACGCGAGGAACGTATCGCAGCCTTGTCCAAAGTGTTTGAACATTTCCGCGATATAAACGATGGCACGCCGATAAGTAGCCCGATAAGGATGCAATGTGATTTTTTGAACATCGCCGGCGCTTTCACGGACTTTGATACCGAATGCGGAAGATTAATCACCGTTAAATGTCGGTTTTGTAACAACAGAGGTGAGGTACAGCTCGTATCGAGGCGGTGCCTGGAATTTCTCTTGTATCTGATACGTATTATCTGTCGCGCTACACGTGTTGCCGCGACAGAAACGTTTTTACCGATGTATCCGCTCCGTGAATTGGTATGAATACAGCGTAGGTCGCGATAGAACTAGACGAGTAGGCAAATCGATAGGAAATCGTATCGGGGAACACAGTAATTACACTCTTATCGGAACTGTTAAACAACGATCACTGTTCTCGCGGACTTTGCTCTTCTGGTTGTGTAAGCGACCTTTATTCCGGGTAGCTTCGTGAAACCGTCCCACGATATCTGTGTTTCTACCGTATCGGTCATACTTCATAAGCGGTATGCATTCAATTTCGAAGATAAGCCAAATATTTGTGCGCGATTTCGAACGGATCGCTGCTCGTTACTTCGGACGAGCTCCTAGTAAATAGATGCTCGTCGCATTAGCCGCATGCATAAGCAGCGGATCGACTATCTCGCGAGTTTTATCGGAACGGTGGCTTGTTCCAAGAAACGTTATGTCACGCTCACGCAACGAATTTCCCGAGTTCTCGTGGATCGCTCACGTGTCTTGAATCGTTCGGACATCTTTTCGGCACGAAACCGCTCGAGAAGTTCTGACATTCATAATTTCGCCGTTTACGGTTGAACATCGTCGCAATGGCGGCTTCGATATGTAACATCAACTGCAAATGAATAATTATTCAGTTAACGAGAGAGTGCATGCGTTTTCCTTCTAGAATCTAAATCTGTACAAGATGCAAATAAAATTCAGAGAAATGTCAACTTCTCGCGTATCGTACCGTGCGTTACGCTTTCAAGTAATACCATACGTTAAAGCGTACACCCTATAGTATACAGGAATGACATACATACATATAAAATTCAGTAGCGTTCAGTGGACGACGTTAACGCACTCACGTGCCCAACCAGTTCTCCGCATACCAACAGGAAACCAAAATGTCCTTCTGATGGCATGTAAATGTACATTCGTACAATGACATGATATCGTGCAGAGGCCTACGTGACGTTAGCCATGCGAATCCTATAAGAAAACGAAAAGAGCGTCGCTTCTCGATCCGACGGGAAAAACGATTTCAGCGACGGCGAAGTGGTACGTTCGAGACGAGCACACGTTCGAACCGATTAAGAGGTAACGTGCAATTAACGAGCGATATATTACCTAATTCCGAGGGAATATGTAAAGTCTCATCGACGCGTTTTTACGTAACGAATCGAAGCTTTTTTCCCGAGCGCACACTGGCGGAGATGTTACGTACGGGCAATGGCAATGAATTATAATGATACGATGTAGGTTATATACGTAACTGAATGAACCTCGATATTCCGCCACGTTACAGAACGGAAGTCAAGCGATCGTTTAAAACAGTTCGTCTTGTTACGGTATAAATCGAACTTGAAACACAACGGTCGGACGTAGAAGATCGCAAACGACGTGACCGAATCACCGTTTAAAATTCTGCAAAAACGAGTCGGAGAAACCTGTTCGCCTCGTGTTATCTGACGTTTGTTCTCCGACGATCCCACACTTTCGTCGACGAGGATAGCGAGGAATTTTCTCTTAACGCGATTGTGCTCTCGTTTCCCATCTATCGGTGACTGCCAATCGGAATTATTATAATTCGCTGAATGAAACGAAGATTATTGCGGACTCCTCTGCACTATAAACAATGGAACCTACAGCGCTGACCTTTAGCAAGATAAACGCGCATTAACGATAACGCGATTCGCGATACGTTATATTTGTCCCATTCTCTGTGTTTTGCTCCGTGAAATCGGCCGGCCTTTAACGCGTTAACGCACAAGCCGCGTTTTCATACGGTACCGTAGCGAGCTAAGTATGTACTTCGCTCTTTCTCAAATCCGACACGTCCAACGTGACGCCGATTCGACGTGACGCGACGGATCTCGGACGTCAAAGCGACGGTTCTCGCTCGGCAACACTCGTAACGACCTATTGTTTTCCGGAACCTCGGCGTACATGCAAATGGCGGTTAATAAATCAAAGTTACGAAGGATCCGTGTAAACCAGTGATCCACAATCGATTCCGAAGGATCGATTGTTATTCTCCGCTGTTCGGAGTCAATCGTTCTATGAAACATGACAGTTCCGATGATAATGTTTCCCGTAACCGGAGTTTTTCTCGTGATTAGACTGTTCCTTTGCGTGGAACGTTTAATCGACGTAATGACAGTGACATCTTTTTTCCAGTTATGATTGAGTATCTCGTCTCCGCTGGCGTACACGTTTCACGCCTCCACGCGCGCTGTTATTCGCACCTTCGGCTTCGGAGTTGGATTTCTCTGGACGGAATCGAGAGCATCTTAAAAGAGAAAAAATAGTCGGTCCTGTTCGGTCGGCTAGAAAGGGGCGCGCATTAGAGAAATTGCTCACTTGCCGCGCCTTTAATGATCATTGGTTAACAACGGGGCCGGCAACGAGGTCCTCGTTGAGAGATATTAGGCTGAATCGAGACAAACTGAATAACAAATTGCCCGACGTGTTTACTCGAATTATTCTGAAAAGGACGAGAGTCTGAACTCCTCGCTGCCTTTAATCCGTGAACAGTAGAACCGCCCAGTGAAATTGACGTTCTCAAGTTCTATAGGAACTCTGAGAGTATATCTATCGAGATTTCGATCGACTAGCGATTTAGTTTACGGAATACTGAATCAAAACTTTGAGTAATTTCTGAGGAAAGCATCTGTTACGTTTATAATAATAAATCTGAACCCTTCGCTGCCTTTAATCCGTGAACAGTAGAACCGCCCAGTGAAATTGACGTTCTCAAGTTCTATAGGTACTCTAAGAGTATATCGAGATTTCGATCGACTAGCGATTTAGTTTACGGAATACTGAATCAAAACTTTGAGTAATTTCTGAGGAAAGCATTCGTTACGTTTGTAATAATAAGTCTGAGCTCTTCGCTGGCTTTAATCGGTGAACAATAGAACCACCCAGTGAAATCGACGTTTTTAAGTTCTTCTATAGGAACTCTAAGAGTATATCTATCGAGATTTCGATCGACTAGCGATTGAGTTTAAATATCGAATCAAAACTTTGAGTAATTTCTGAGGAAAGCATTCGTTACGTTTACAATAATCGTGAAACGAGAATTGAATTTGATCCATTCGGTAGTTCCAGCGTCAACGCAGCGACGGTGTACCGGTAATTTTTAATCTCTCGATCCGTTTTCCTCCGTCGCGACGCTGTTGACGAGCCAGGGACAGAGAGTCGAGTAGAATAGGCGGGAGTGGGACGGAACGAGACGTTAGAGAGAGGAAGAGCGCACTGGAAAGCAGCCGACGGTCAATGGTGATGGCCGCGGTGCAATCGAATGGCGGAGTCAGTCAGTCAGTCTCGAGACACCGAGGCACGAGCATCGTTCGAGGCTCGCCGAAGTTTATCCGGAAACTCTGTTTCGCGTTCTCGGCGGCGATCGCGTATTGGTAAACAGTTGATTCACGACACGCAGTCGCCACGGTTCAGCCGCGTGTGCGCGAGGAACCGATTCGCCCAGCGGAACCTTCGACCTCCGAGCTTGGAGAACGGGCAATTCCATAGACGCGGTCTGGTTTCCCGAGGATTCGTGTTGATGGTCTGCACGGTTGTCTCTCGCAAAGGCACGGTCGTCTCTTTCCGTCCAACTTCCCACGCATCACCGCTCGCACGATGTAAGAACGCGCCTTTATTCGCATCGCACGGGAACGCGACCAATGTTTGCCTCCGCGACCACCGTCGGCGGACGCTGTTTGAAAACTTGACTCTCTCGAGACAGCTGGTGCACGCTTCTTTCAAACTGTACTGAAAACTTCCAGTAAACTCACGAGTCACGCGTGTATCGCGTAGTTCGCCGTTTAACGAATGTCTGCGATGATAGACACATTGGAGGCTTGGAACTTCAACTTTGACTTACGTATTCGACGGCCGTTTCGAAAGAGTTGAAGTTCGCCAAGTCTAAACACGGTCGGCAACGCCGTGACATTTAGGAGATAGTTGTAACTCGACCGTTCCGTCATGCTGAATCAGCAGAAATAATCTCGGTGTCCGGTCTGCGTTTCTACTCTGTTCCGCCGCGGAGACGATCGGCTCGAAAAAATTTCGGACGCGTGTAACCCGGCGGCAAACATCGGCAAACCTCGATGACCGCGATTAGAAGTCGCCGATGTATCGTCTAGACCGAGTCGGAATCGTCGTGTGCCGGACGGCTGATCGGAACGGTGCATTCTTTCAGGCGATGATTGAAACGGAACGGTTGTTCGCCGACGAGACAGCAATTTGTTCGAACGAGGATCAGACCGCGCACGGAACCGCAGGGCGTGCTTGAAGCTCCACGCTGGTCGACGTCGAATTCGATTGGAACTGTTACGAAGTAACTATCAGAGATGAAGCTCGAGGGCAATTGTTCGAGCGAGGACAATACCAATGAAATCCTGCTGCAACCCAGGAAGGGTTCGGGGACCCGGTTGCAGATCGTGCCGATACAACCCAAGACGATCACGCATCTGCCGAAGAGACCGCCGGTCGACCTGGCGTTCACGGACCTCGTGTACAAGGTGCGGGAGGGACGGAAAAATAGTAAGTACACGTGTTCCAACGTTCGACTAACAATTAGAGTAAATCGTTGAGAGATGGGCGACTTTTTTAAAATGGCTACAAATATCATTGATACCCAACAGAGAAATACATTCACAAAACACGTAGAATAGTTAAATATTGGAAGATTCGGTGCGAGAACAATCGAAAACAGACATTGGAGAAAATCGGAGCATCGCCAGGAGTTACTCGAACAAAGGCTTGAAAAAGATTATTGACGACGGTATCGAAAGTAAAATAAATGCGCTCCAAAGATCAAGTATTCCAGCGAAGATATCGACTCGCTTTCGGGGGCGTTCGCGATGTCTCTCGGTAATCGCGTTTCATGGGGGTCTCTCGAATTGCATTCGATCGTTGGTCCCCGCGGCTCCGCGGCTCGGATAAGTCGAAACGGTTGAAACTGGTTTCCGATGACATTGACCACAAAGTGAAAGTAAACGGGATCTACGCGAAAGAGGGACGTATTGCGGGCGGTGCAGTCGGCGCGTGACGATTCTTGTTCATCTCGGAGCGATACTCTCTTATCGCGGCGTGGTACGGCCGACCGGATAACGGCGTGGAACAAAAGGAGACACGAGCCGATTGTACGAAGCGAAAAATTGTACGTCACGCTCCGGCCGGCTGATAACGCCGCTTAATTAGCCCATGACTGATGACGAGCTCTCGTTAGCTGCGAGGCCTCTCGCCGCTCGTTTTGCTTTTATCCTCCACGGTAATGTAACTTTCTACGCGTTCGCGGAGCGGAGCGTGGACGTCGGGCCGCGACGGCGAACGGAATTACTGACCGAGATTTTGTAAGAAGACCGGTTGTGTGGCACAACGCTTTGGACGATTTCCAAAGATCCGACCGCTCGAGCAGAGCTCGCCGCGTTTCTGAAATTTCCGAGCTGAATCGGCCGTTGTTTATTATCGTCCGCGTTTCTTTTAGGCAATCCGAAAAGGCGAGGCTTTGTTCTTACTTATCGGGAACTTATCGGCTCGATTTCTTTGGCGGCCGGTGGCTATTTTCGTTTCGCGGCACTGGCGCCGCGAGGAACGATCGGTTTCCCAGACTTCCAGCGTACGATCGGTGCTAGACTTTCGAACGTTCGTTGTTCCCTTCGCCGCTTCTTCCGTGGGAGGTCCGCTCGCGCAACCTTAGAAAAAAGACGCGCGAGGTGGTTGACACGCTTCAGGTTCCTCGGCCCGCGCAGTTGTAGGACGTCCTCGATAAGTCAGCGGAAACTGCGGCGCGCGCGGAAAACTCCGACCAGTTTCATCTGCGTGTAGATTTTGGAATGCGGATCTTCGAAGTAACAAATGTATCTTATTCTTGCAACTATAGTAGTGATAACGTTATATTCGTCTCTACACGAATGAAATATAAAAATCGTTGGGAACATTTTAAATTTTCATGAGTGGTCGAAGTAGAAAGTTGCTTTCTATAAATCTATGAAGACAAACTCGATCCTGGTTGAAACGTTTCCCGCGTGTTGGCCGATCGATAAGACTAGTCGATTATCTTTCCGAAGCTGAGCTTCCTCGTACGCCCGTCAGATCTTATCCGGTCCGATTCGGAAGAATCGCGATCATTTATTCGACGCAGGTTCACGCGTGCGGACGAGCGTGTCCTTCGCGCCATATGATTTAGCCACGCCGACACACTCGCCTCTTTTCTTTCCATTTACGAGACACGCGTGCACGCCAACGTCGGCTCCTCGAAACGGGTCGCGTTCGAACGATCCTTAGATCCCGAAAGTTGAACGCACTCGCCTCGATTCGTCCGCGGAAACCTCGGACTTCTCCGCGGAAAGTCTCGGGTTCGTCCACCTGGAAACGCGGCTTCCGGCGAGACTGAAAATGCTCCGCGATCGGCAGGCAATGACGTTAGCTCGTTTCGTGTCCCAGTTAGCAGGCGCGGAGTCCACGCACAGCGTTTCCTTTCACATTCGCGGCAGAGCTCGCGTCGGTCGCTGGACGAATCGAATTTCGAAAGCATGGTACCGTTCCGCGCACGAAACCGAGGCAATTAGCCGGCTCGCCGTCGATCGCGAACGGAGTCGTGGTCAGGGAAGCGTTCAGCTTCGCCAGCACGAGTACACTCGTATCTCGAATGTACTTCAGTGCGAAGCAAAATGCGTTTGAAACGAGTAAATCGTTTTCAGTTTCGATAGCAGCGAACGTATTCAAATGAGACTCGTCACCGTTAAGTAACATCGCGTAATAAGTAATATCGTACGGAACGCTCGGAGCTCCACCTTCGAGAACTCCGGGTTATTCCTCGTTCCAGTTTTTGCCAATCGGACGATCGTTACATCGGAGATTAACCAGAACATTCGCTGCCACGCAGCAATTAATGTGGATGCTTATTATTTGCATGACGCAACAACAGTAGCAACATCCACTCGACTTATCAATTATAACGCTGGATCGGTGGCGAGCGGCTGAAATGCTAACGGAAGTTCGCGCGATGAGCTAACGAATGTCACAGGCAATGTCAACGCGGAGCCGATTTTTTCTCGCCGCGTGCAATATCGAATTCTGTACCGATGATACCGTCCGAGCGGTACGATAAGAGCGGCACCGTCATTCCGCGATATGCACTCCCGGGGGCAAAGTGTGATTGACGCTGCAGGAAGCGATGTCCGCGTGCTGTCATTATTGCGAAACGCTGTTTCCTTTGTTCCCGCGTTTCTCGGCAAAAAACTAGCAGCGTCGCGAGCTCGGGAAATGTTGTTACCGGTTCTCCGGCCGTCTTTTTCGTCGCGCTCGTGATCTTCCCTTTAATCCTCTTTCTCGATGACTGTCACGCTTTCTTCTCGCGCGACGCGCAATATGATAATCGTTGAGACCGTTGTTGTCGTCGTCAACGAAGGCTGGAATCTGTTCCAGACGATCCTTTCAGTTGGAAACGTGTACAATTGTACGATTTGCTTGCAGATACGAAGACAATCCTAAAGTCCGTCAGCGGACGCCTGCGATCCGGGGAGCTGACGGCCATCATGGGTCCCTCCGGCGCGGGAAAGTCTACGCTTTTAAACATCCTGACCGGATACAAGTGAGTCATTGTGTTTAACCGGGTTTAGTAACGCAGTCGTCGACGGCCGGTCATTAGAATCGTAAATCGTTGGTATTGCCGTCGATCTTTTCGCCGTGAGTCGGCGCGCGCTGTCGATGATGTTTCAAAAAGAACATCGAGACGCGAAGAAAACATTTTAACTATAGGTTCGCGTGGAAACGTTCGACGTGTCTGAAAAGAACTGCGTTCCACGCGGATCGGGCATCGGTCGCGATTTCACTTTCTTTCTGGGATGCGATTTCGCTTTCTTCTCGAATCCTCGGTTGCGCAACTCTTTCGCCGGTTTTTTGGCTACACGCGTTTACCTGGCGCCGCTTTCTAAACGACGTCGAATCCGCTCGTCGCGACGACGGTGACGAAACGAGGACAATTATTCGCTTTTATGATGCGTTCGTTGAGAAGCTTTTCGGTTGGTACATCTTGATGATTTGAACTTCTAAATTACTTAACTGTAACAAGAAAACTGATTAATTCGAAATCTTTAGTAACATATGTAATTAAGTAATAGTGTAACTTAACACGTTGAATGCCATGGAGTCACCGGTGACCCCTCCGAATCGAATTACTATAGTTCATTTCAATTAAACGACGATTTGACAATATTTCTGTATTATCAGCGTGCAATAATAATAACGCATTTCAATTAAATGATTTAACATTATATTCTTCCCATTTTGTGTATTTTGCTCTATGAAATCGTGCGGCGTTCAACGTGTTAAGGATGGTACCAAATCACTGATCGATCGTAAACGCCGAAAATTCGCAAAATTCTCTTGGCAACCGGCGCGTTGATAGTTCCTAAATAAAACCGGTTTCACGTTTGGCGAATCGGGCGCGAATAAATTCCACGATCGAAGGTATAAATCAACCGACTGTCGTTCCTTCCGTCCGCCGGTATTATTCCTTTTTCGTTCCTTGACGTCACGGAGACGCCGAGGCGACACTTCGGAGGATCACGCGTGCGAGAATCGCCTCGGCTACCTGCGCGACGCGGTTTTCCTCATTTGGAGTCGCTCACAGCGCGACCTCGACGTTTCGTCTTGGTCGTCTTGCTCGCCAGAGAGCTGGAGATCGCTGGAGACATTACAAACCCGAAAATCTGGTTGACATGTGTACAGGTCAGCGGGCGCGGAGGGCAGTATCACGATGAACGGCCACGAGAGGAACCTTAGTGCCTTCAGGAAACTGTCCTGCTACATCATGCAAGATAATCAGCTTCACTCGAACCTGACGGTCGCTGAAGCCATGAAAGTCGCCGCGAACCTGAAGCTCGGTTCGCACGTTAGCAAGGCGGAGAAGGAGGAAGTGGTACGTGCCCGTTAACCCTTTGCACTCGGATGACGAGTCACCATTCGATTTGACGCGGTGAAACTATAAAATCTGATACTTAATGTTCAGCTTCGTATAACGCCTTGATACGTGAAATATTAGAAATAGCTTTGTTCCTCAATGTTGTGATCTCCCTTCGAGTTAGTTTCAAGGAATATCGTCTTCGTAAAAAATATTAAACATTTCTAGTGAGAAACTTCTGAGTGCAAAGGGTTAAATAATATACATACCAACAAAACTATCAATATCTCCAAAGCCTGCTTTAGAATTAATTTAAGCTGAAATGAAGCTTAGTGTTTAATACATAAATGAACAAACTTCCTTTTAAGATTATAAAGATTTAGTTTCATTTTCTACTGTTAACCCTTTGCACTCGAGAGGTCTCTCAGTCACCACTTGATTTGACACAGTAAAACTATAGAATGTGATACTTAACGTTAAACTTTGTATAATGCCTTGATACGTGAAATATTAAAAATAGCTTTGTTCCTCAATGTTGTGACTTCCTTTCGAGTTAGTTTCAAGGAATATCGTCTTCGTAAAAGAATATTAAACATTTCTAGCGAGAAACTTCCGAGTGCAAAGGGTTAAATTTCTTGTCTGGTGTCATTCTATTCAGAAGAGCCCTGTTAGCCTCCTCGTCTAAGAGGTAAACCACGACTCGCCAGCAGAATATTTCATTATCTTTCGTTTTAGATCCAGGAAATCCTTGAGACGCTCGGTCTGTCCGAACACACACGCACCATGACCTCGAACCTGAGCGGTGGCCAGAAGAAGAGACTCTCGATCGCTCTCGAGTTAGTCAACAACCCGCCTATCATGTTCTTCGACGAGCCTACCAGGTAAGGAGAAACATTTCGCACAGGTTCCCGTGTGGTATTCTTTTCGTCCGATTTCTTTTCCCTGCGCGGAGAGCTCGATTTCGCTGCCCCTCGCGTTGTGCAACCATGCATCATCCCCTCTCGCGCGCAGGCTGATTGAACGTTACGAGTTCTTGTAATTTTAGCTCGGTGAACCCGAGGAAAGCGACTCAACAGGTGGTTCCGTTACCTCCACGCGAACCGGCGTGCTCGTACAGTGCGGCGCTAAAGGACGTAAAACGAGAGTCAGTCGATTTCAGGGACTCCGCGTTTCAAATCGTTCGATGCAACCGCTCGTCCAAGTCCAAAGTCATCTCGAAAACAGATCCATCGCTTTTTTTCCCTACCGTTATTCGCCGCCTCTCACTTTCACTGGTTCAGGAGAAACCTGTTGGGTTTTTATATAACGTCTCGGGCAGACATGGTCAGTGTCAGTAAATAATCGCGCGAGCTCTTCCGCTCTCTCGCCATAGAAATTTCCACAGCGATTGGCTTTGTTGCTTTGAATGAGCCGGACGGTTCATTATTTTCCATGTACACGATCCTGCGGATAGGTTGATTAAGTGAAAGGGTCTAATCAGATAGGAAATAGACGCAAGCTATTTATTCTTCAGATATTTTAGGAATACTAAGCTAGACTGCTAAGCATCCCCTTCCCGCGTCCGTTCGAGAAGTAGCAATATTTTGCCCGAAACATTCACGTGAGACGGTCGAGGAGCAGCTGATGATCCGCGTGTAAAAGGTCAACTGAAACTTTTGAGAACGCACGTACACAACCGGTTTCGCAAGGCTGTCGTGTATGCTTATTTTTCCTTATCACGGGAAGCCAGAGAAAAACAATCGCGATCAATGACCAGCCGACTCGACGCTCGCGTTTGTACGCAATCGGAACTCGTCCGCGGAAACCGAGATCAATCTCTTCGCGATCGGATCCTCGGTTTTGCTCGATGGTTGCGCAACGCGGGTAGAAACCACCAACGATCCATAAACAGAGCAGTCGTTCGTTAACGTTTCTTCGTTTGTTCGCAGCGGTTTGGATTCGTCGTCTTGCTTTCAATGTATCTCGCTGCTGAAGACTCTGGCTCGAGGAGGAAGGACGATAATCTGCACGATTCACCAGCCCAGCGCGAGGCTCTTCGAGATGTTCGACGCTTTGTACACGCTGGCCGAAGGGCAGTGCGTCTACCAGGGGTCCACGTCGCAGTTGGTGCCTTTCCTTAGGAACATTAACCTCAACTGTCCGAGTTACCACAATCCGGCCTCTTTCAGTGAGTCTCGCAGCGCACGGCTACTTCATGCACGAAACGATACTGACGCCTGTAACTTGATCCACAGTTATCGAAGTGTCTTGCGGGGAGTACGGAGACAATATCAAGAGTCTCGTGAACGCCATAAACAACGGCAAATACGATATACGGGAAGGATATCCGTTTCCCGAGAACAAATCCGAGGGGCTGAACAACGCGCCGAGCGAGTCGCTTCAGAAGGACGCGGTCGGCGGGGAGGCTGCGGAGGTAAAGGACAAGAACGACCTGAAGAATTTGGAGGAGAAGTTTCAAGAGAACAGTACAAAAATGTCGAATAGCAAAGGGATTATTCCTGCTTTCGCGAACAACGATATTTCGAAGCAAAGTATGTGGAAGGAACGAAATTAGCTTGGCATTTATGTAGTCTTTTATCATTAACCTCGATTCTCCACAGCGGATGTCGTGATATCCATGGAAACGGACAAAAAGGATAATGCCGATGCAGCTCTACTAGACGACACGATTGTAGTTACCCCAGAAAGATACCCTACATCAGAGTGCCAACAATTTTGGATCGTATTAAAGAGAACGTTGCTCTTCAGTCGCAGAGACTGGGTATGTTTCTTGGTTTATCAGTGAATTCTCTTGATCACGGTATCGACGTGAATTGTTCTTTACATTTCAGACCCTTATGTACCTTCGGCTGTTCGCTCATATCTTGGTAGGGTTACTAATCGGTGCGCTGTACTATGATATCGGAAACGATGGCGCTAAAGTACTTAGTAATCTCGGGTTCCTGTTCTTCAACATGCTGTTCCTCATGTACACGTCCATGACCATCACGATTTTATCTTGTACGTTCGTTTCTTACTCAGCTAAATGCCCTCGTTAATCGCAGCTATTTAATCTCGCACGTTTTACAGTCCCGCTAGAGCTACCGGTACTTCTGAAGGAGAACTTCAACAGATGGTACTCGCTCAAGTCGTATTACTTGGCGATCACAGTGTCCGATATACCGTTTCAGGTAAACGTGGAAAGCAAAAAGCTGCTACTTAAGAAAATGATATTATGCTAAACCGAACCGACGTCTGATCTGTCCACTTTTATTGCAGGCGATATTTTGCATAATGTACGTCACGATCGTGTATTTTATGACGAGCCAGCCGTCGGATATGATGCGATTCAGTATGTTCCTGGGGGCATGTTTGTTAATTTCATTCGTCGCGCAGTCGGTCGGACTCGTCGTCGGGGCGGCTATGAACGTGCAGAACGGTGTGTTCCTAGCGCCGGTGATGTCCGTGCCGTTCCTCCTGTTCTCCGGTTTCTTCGTTAGCTTCGATGCTATTCCCGTGTACCTTCGATGGATCACTTATCTGAGTTACATCAGATACGGGTTCGAGGGCACCGCGTTGGCTACCTACTCTTTTGGCCGGGAGAAACTGAAATGTTTCCAGGTACGTGTAGCTTCTCATTACACTTCGCAGTTCAACCATTCATGATCCTTCTTTATCGAGACGAATGTTCACAGGTCTACTGCCACTTCAAAAATCCGGAGACGACCTTAGAGGAGTTGGACATGCTCGACGCCGACTTCGTGCTGGACATTCTTGCCCTGCTTTTGATATTCCTCGTCCTTCGGATCGCCGCCTATCTATTCCTTCGTTGGAAACTGAAGACTGCGCGATAGGGCGTCCCGCGCGACCTGTACAAAAGTTACCGATGTTCAAGCGTGCAAATCGTAAAGGCAACGCATCTTCCTCGAGCGATCAAGAATTCTTCGCGGAGCGCTCGATTTCTCCGAGGATTAGTTCCTCTCGACGGAGAAGTCGCATCTCTCGAGGCAACGAAGAGCTAATCAGTGCCGTGCATGCTTGAAAATTGTTATACGCGGACCGCGCGAGGTCCGACGCAACGTAATTCGCGCGATTTAATTAGTTTTATAACGATGAAAGGGCAACTCTGCAGCAACCAGCGCGACACGTTTGTTCAGGGTACCGTTTCGTCGCTCACGACGCGATTAAATAGACAGGGGTAGCACAACACGGTCTAGTATGCACGCAAGAGAAACACGTAATGTTGATCTCGAGCCGACCGTTGACCCGGTGCATACGCGTGTCACCGGTCACGCAAAGACGGGCAGGGATCAGGAATGCGCGTTCGGGCGAGGCCGCTCCGCCGCGTATCGTAGCGTCGCAAGTTTCAATTCTCTGGCAGGGATAAGAGGCCTTAATTGACAACGTCTCGCGAGCGATCACATTTCTCTTTTAACCACCTATGGCTGTGAGTTTGACGATGTAGGAAAGTTACGAAAGACAAACACGACGACGCGTGTCTCGGGTTCGAACCGACAACGTTCCTCGCGGAGAGGGAAACGGCCGAAGGGACGACTATCTTGCCAACTCTACCATGTATCTCGTTGAATCGTCGGATTGTTCGCGTCGCCGTCGCCGCGCTCGCGAGGACTCACGGTTCCCGGCGAGTCGACGGAAACGTCATGTTCATCGTAACTCTTCCCAGTTAACGTGTCTATCGTGCGTAGCGTCAATGTACATTGTACCAATCGATTTATATTTTTTTAAGCGAGCCGACTTTTGTAAAAAGGATTGAACACACCTTGCGAGTTACGTCTCGGAGTGAGGCACTCCGGGAGCTTTAAAGATACAAGCTTTACCCGTCGGTTCCCCGTTCGAATCGGTTCGATTCGGACACTTGTTGGACATCGTGGCATTGATTCGTTGTTGCTAAGCAATTAGCCATCGCTCGATCGTTCTTTTCCTCCTTTTGTTTGTTTTTTATACGTACGTACTGTACGCAGTGCCGACTCAACAGATGTACTTTACCAGGAAATACGTTTCTATATATTTACATTGAATGGGGTAAATTATATACGTGTTTATATCTAAAAGGATTAACGTGATCGATCCCGAACCGAAAGCTAATACTTTTACAAAGCATCGTGCACAAAGGTCTGTGCCCGTGTCGCGTATTCTTCGTTGTATTTTATAGAATACGTTTATTACGAATAAAAGTATACCTTTCATAATGGCTGTTCAGCGTCACTCCTCTCCGATTAGCATAAATTCTCGCGCCTTCCGATCGTTCGGAGTGAAATAACATTATCCGTATACGTAACACTTTTAATTCGATTCACGTCTTCCTTATCCGCGTGAAAAAAAAAGTAGCAATTTTCAGGTTACACTTGTCAGAGGTCATCACCTGCTTTTTCTACCGGACGAGCGACCGGCGTGTTACGTGCACCTGCAGGCTACCTTGTAGCCATTCCGTTTTGGTAAAAAGGAGAATGTAGTTTGGAAAACTATAGGTATCACGTCTGCAACTAGGAATGTAGTAAGGTACAGCCCCTGCGCATGCTTTCCTATCGTACTAGGAAAGTTCAACGTACTCCGCGCCGACAGTAGCACCTACATGGCTTCTTCGCGTTTGCCTTCCTTTAAGCTTAAACAAATGATCGGGTTACAGGGTAAAGGTCTTATAATTCACTTCCGGTGGAACGAACGCGACCGTTTCTTCCAGTGGGATCTTGTCAGCGATGCTCCACGAAAAAATTGCCCAACGTTTACCAATTGAAATTACCCATTCTCAATCTTTAGGTTCCTTTAACAATTAGTAGTCAGCACATTAATGTATTTTATTTTAACTAATCGGTAACCAGTGCTTAACCCTTTGCACTCGAAAGGTGCCTCTCAGTCATTGGTGCATCAAAATTGTAAAATTTCGTATTTAACATAAAGTCTCGAGTGATCTGTCGATACGTGAAACGTGGAAATAAAATACCAGTGTTCCCCTTATTTTGTGAATAGATTCCTCGTTAACACTAGGTTCACGGACGTTTATTGTCCGGTTTATTCTATTGTTCCTAGAAAAATTGATGTTCGACCATTTAGACCTTGGAAATTAAGGATTTAAAATTAGGTTATTACGATACGTATTCTTGTAACTGCATCAACCAAAACCGACATAAACGTTTGCCAAGTAATGTTTATAAAATCCATATGCGTCAATTTGACGCGTTCCGTAAACCTAGTGTTAAGTTTAAAAAAATGTCACCTATATTTCATAAAAGTAAATTGAATATTTCTATTGACAAATTTTTCGAGTGCAAAGGGTTAAATGTACTCTTCATTTGATCGAAGAAACACAAACCTAAGCTGCAACCCGTTAAGTCTCGGTGTTATTAAAGAAGCCGGTCAAGCGTTGAACGCAGCAACCTGTTGCTCATCCTAACAAAAGCTGTTCAACCTATAAAAGCAGGCTAACCAAAACGAGTGAAAGTGACAATAAACACACCGACCAGGGATACAACTTTACAAAAGGATACCTTTTCAAGAGAGCATTTCCCAGCCGCGATTCTGCATAATAAAGCAATTTGTATCTCCCATCTACCGCATCCGCGGCTTTCAGTGATCTCCCGGCGAACAATGCCAATAGGCCTGTCGCTAATCACGTTTCCCATCGAAAGCCGTCCACTAATTATGCGCTGCACGGGACAATGACTAGGAATTCAATGGAAAATCTTCGCGTGCGACCGAAATAACAGGCACTTACGAGGCGAACCATCCTACGGAACAATAGGGGCTAGAGCGTCTTCCGCCGGCGACCACTAGACACGAGAGATCATCGTAGGAAAACGTCCCCGGCCACTTCGGGCGTTGCTGCCAGTGAAATATACAGCGTCTATACATAGTCGCCGCGTAAAAGGGCGAATAGAATGTGCAGTAGTCAGTCCGCGGCGGTTGCTCGTCGAGCGCAAACCTAGCTCGACGGGACTCGCACGATTGCCGTGGGTCGATAAGCTCCAAATTTAAGAACGCAATTGTGCGACGAGCGTGGCGTGCGGGTACTTTACGCGGTGCGTTGCGAGTGAAACAGAACTACAAACTACAGTTTCGTTAGGGCGAGTGAAATGAAATGGAGCGACTGCATCGCGATCCGTACAAAGGCCGCGGTTAATTGCCAACGTCAACTGGGTGACAATGAGTGCCTCGATTCTCGGCTGATCAGCAGGGCGCGTAGCGCAACGTGCTCGCTCACGCGCGTTACACGGACTCATCGCATGACTCAGAATTCGTCGCTGGCTTCCCGTAAACAACCCTCCTTACTCATCGTCTCTCGCTCCGAATGGCCATGGTACCATTTACGCGTCAGTTTCACGTACATCGAAGGTTGCAGCATTGTTCCATTAAATCCACGTCGATTTTGATCGATGCGTTATACATCTTAATCGCTCATTCCTAAGCCCCTAAACTAAGATCTAAACGGATTATACCATAAATCTCCGTGAACCTAGTGTTAAATAAACATTCACCACGTTAGATTTTGGATCAGAGTTAATTTCGATTTCTCTTGTCCTCGACGCACTTTACAGGAATCATCCTAGGAGAGATTTCCTTCGGTATGTCGGTAGACAATTCAAACGAAGAGCCGGATCGTCCGTATCCAACGATTCGCGCGATGATAACCGCTATCATCGTTGTGTGCGGCTCGTATCCGCGATGGTGATATAAAACAGGCGCAGGCGATGTCACCGTGTATTAGTGTGCCGCGTTGAGAACAAGGAACTCGGCTAAGCGACTTCGGCGTCAGTCTTCTTCCGCGATCTGTCGCGCGCGCCGAGCTTTCGTCCGTTCTTGCGACGCGCGTACTCTCGATCGGTGTCACCCCCGCGGGCGAGAGCGAATCGCTCGGCAGCGACTGGATTTTACATCGTCGAACCTGCACTGTCGGGCGTGCATTCTCCGTTTCGACGTTTATCGTTGCACTTATCCGAGGGACGCGGCCGAGGACTAGATAAACGGGCGTCTCGCCTTTATCGTCCCGGCGGGCGAAAGTTTTCGGACCGTTATCGTCCGTCGGATGCACTTTTTCGAGCCGGAGTTCCGTCGCGCAGTCGCGGTAAACTCCAGGAGAAACCGCTGTCGGCCGTTCTTCGGGCAATTTCTTCGGGGGCATCCGGTGTCGTAAAGTCGCGAGAGGCGCGCAGGAAAGCGGCTCGGGTAATGGGTTCAACGGAACGGGCGTGAATCGGTCGTTGGCAGTCAGAGATCCAGCATGCCGTCGAAGTCGAAAATCGAGATGACGGAGGGGAACGACGGAATGCAATTGCAGCGCTGCTCGGACCGGCCGCCCACGCAGGACGCGGTGCCGTTGTCGCACCTGAGAAAAATGGCACCCGCCAACATCGAATTTAGTAACCTGACTTACACGATACCTTACAGCGGAAAAGGTACGACGGTATTTTCGCTAGGAATACTATAAGAATTAGTTGCACTTGCCGATAGATTACAGAACAACCTGGAGTGATAAGGGTTAACAGTAGAACTACCGTACCAGTCGTTTAGACTGGTTTCAATTTGTTTGTTTCGGAATTATTGATATCTTGCATCGAATAGTCGTAATAATTTTGAAAATAGTTTCACTTGAATATTATGGTGAATGCCTGGAGAAACCGAAGATAATTTATTGTCATCATTTTTGTAGGGAGTACGTATCAATCGTATGCTCGGTAATTCTAGTGTTAACCCTTTGCACTCGAGGGGCGACTCTCACTTGATTTCATACGAAACTATAAAATTTGATATTTAACCCTTTGCACTTGAGAATATTACAGCGGAAAAGGTACGACGGTGATTACAATTGTGCAAGTATATCGTTATGTTATTCGCGTGATCCTTTCACCAGAGATCCTCGTTGCTAATAAGACACCCACCATACCGGTTGACAGTCGTTTACATTTCAATCTCTCGTAATCGATGCACAGCAGTTTTTATTGCTTAATAATTGTGATGAACGATTCAATTTGAACCTGACTTTTTCAATAATAATTAATGATGCATAAGTAGAAGCTCGACGCTACCTATGGTGTTCCTCAGCACGTGACGCGTGAATCACAGGCGAATGTGTGGAAACAAGAGCGAAAAGAAATGGTAGGAGGCTTACGAAACGTGTGACCTATTTAATCTCGTTGTTATCCTAATCGTATTAGCGCACGCGTTCGATATCGCTAAACAATAACGAACTGTTTACATGTTAGTGGAATCGGTGAACCGATGATTAACTAATCAGACTAGTATTTCTTCGCCGATGTGGGTTGATAATTAATTTATTCGCTTACACGCTCCCAACGATAACGCAACACGACGTCACCGCGCAGATGAATTGTTTCCGGAAATCCGTTGAACGATCTGATATACGCGCACCGATTTGCCAACTGTGTTTCAGGCCTTGTTTTAGAATAATAAGGGACGCGAGAGAGAGAAATAGAAAAGTAACATTGTTGACCGGTATCGCGTGCGATTAATTATTCTCTAATGTCTGTACGGTATCCAATCCATTGGAACGATGAGATAACCGCGTGTAACGTGAATTCCGCGAAGCAAAGAATTGCGGTAAAAATTCCTCCTAGGATTCTGAGGCGGAACCAATCGGAGACTGTGGCTATATCAGGCACGTTGCGATGCAACATGTCGAAGCGTTGATGCAAACGTAACTCGACTGCTGAATTGCATAGACTTTTTAATATCGCGCCGTTCGCAGTGTCAGACATTGGTACGAACTAGTCGGTAACGATCCTCCAACGAAAACATTTTATATAACTCTTTGTTACTTAATCGGATAACATAATCGTCTCGGACTTAGAGTGTGAAAATTCTGTTGGCCATCGTTCATTAATTAACCGACAGGATCGAAGGATGTTACATTGCACGTCCGTTCGACACAAGACACCGCGAGGCTCTCGCGAAACGATATCTCGCAGATGTAATCTGGTCCTATTACAATAATAGTCCACCATAATCCTCGCTGTTTCGCTTTCTATGCTTCTACAATGACTACAACCTTTCTCCTCGCGGATAAATAGAATTCGAGCGAGCGTTTCCGACGTGCTGCTGCACGGGTAAAAATGCCAGTGGCAATTAAGCGTTTTCAACCGTAAAACGAAATACACTTCCCACGCACGCGCGGCAGCAGACAAACTTTTCAATTAACAGCGAAACTAAAGGTTAACCGATCGACTGGCAGCGATCGCGCTTCTGCGGTCTGCTTAACCACTCGAGACGTTTCTACCTCAAATTTCTCAATGACGTCTTTCACAGTGAAATGTATCACTCTATATAGAATGATTAACAAACAAAATTAGTGTACATATCAGTGTAAAATAGGAAAAAATTCATCGCAGGTCTGCCAAATTTCTGACTTCATTTCCAGTGGTTAAAAGTGACAGTTCATCGGCTCGTAGAATCAAATGAAGTTTATTTACTCGTCCTCCTAATTACTTTCATGGTTGTCATTGCCTGCTTAGAAATGGCAGAATAAACGATCTGTTTAGACACTTTTATGTGACAATAAAAAGCGTTCAGTTTTGAAACAAAAGAACCACGATTGCACTTAGTATTCTTCGACAGAGTTTTTGCGAGGACTCATAACACTCAAACGGTTGGTAGCGCGAAAACATTTGCATCTCTCAACGAGCCTCGAATGCGATTAACTGTCGAACATTGAGAAGTAATTCGATGCATATCGTTTTATATAATGCTTCGCTATTAGGAGCACTAACATAGCCATTCATTTTTTCACTGTGGTAATGACGTCCTCGCCCAGCTGTGCATGGCACTGTTCCATGGTATTGAAATGATCTCGGTCATTAGTCAGTCCGCGTTGCAGAAGTTGAAGAATGATCGCTTCAAGCGGAATTTATTTGTTCTCTTTAACTGGCGGCGGTGTTGTTTCAATCTGCGTGTTACTTTGTATCCGCATTCGAAGAAAAAATCCGTGAAACGAACTGCCTTTGCCTATAAAATCCTACGTTTAATGGTCGGAGCCATTAAACGTTTAATCCTATGCAAACAATATGAACGTATATGTTAATCATCGTGATTCGGGAGCTCGCATCGTCTTTATTTAACGAGCGCTCGGCTGACAGTGTGTTCTACTTCCTGTGCCGTTGCTCGCGAGCATTCGACCCTAAAGGCAACGATTCGATCTGAATCCAACGCATGGCAGATTTCCGTGATGTCTCTTGTCCATCGGGAATTACAGATATTTCCACTGTCCGTCGTTCGTTAACATTAACAATACCGAGATTTAAAATTCCGCGTTTTCTTTTGTTCCCTTAATTTTATTCCTATATTGTCCGATTAACCAGTTAACTGTGACGAGTGTACACTTCATTTTTTTGTTTGTCAAACGATTCTGTCCGCATGTCGCAGGTCCGAAAGCGATTTTAAAAGGCATCAGCGGCCAGTTCAGGTCCGGAGAGCTCTCAGCGATCCTGGGCCCGTCCGGTGCTGGGAAATCCACGTTGCTGAACATCCTCGCAGGATATAGGTGAGTCGTCGCATTAGCCCTTTGCGGAAATGTCGGCTTTTCGGTGAGATGAAATGTTCAGATTCGGAAGACTCGTAAAATGATCTAATTAGTCGAACAGTAAGAGAGCACGTAGTTTCCTTTCTTTCTATTAACCCTCTATAGGCTCGTGTGACTTTGAAGTGACACATCGATATACGACATTAATAATTAATCAACTTAAACTTTTGTACACACAGGCATGTACGTTCAACGTCATTGTAACTTCAAAGTTACAAAATATATTCGTTTCAATAAAATTATTAAAACTACTGAATAATTTGAAACTACTGAAATTGCTAATTTGTGTTTATATGTTGATATTTATTAATTCCATACTGCATAAATTTTATTGTAATCACGAAACAAAATTCGGCCCATAGAGGGTTAATTAAGCGATTGATATACAATTTAGCTTCATACGTCGAAGATTTTCTGTTTCGAAGAATCCTCGTCCGCAAAGGGTTAAACAACGTCGTTCCCATCAGACCGTGCCTTCGACGCGCGACTCGAAACGAAACGAATCAAGGTCGCATCGATCTTTTCCCAAAGCGTCGGCCGGTACAGTCAAAGATCAGTGACCCCGCGACTCGCGACAAGCGGAGCGGAAGCCTCAGTTAGGCCGGAGTCAGCGGCACGAGTCCTAACTTCCTAGGCCGACCGATAGATCGATCGACCGTTTCTGTTCCGTAGCGAGGCGAGAAAAAGTTTCCGTTCAAAGTCGAAAACGGCATTTTTAGATCGACCGACGTTACCGGCCATGTGAGCGTCAACGGGCGAACGGAGTGCATCGATCGCCTGAGAAAACTCTCTTGTTACATTATGCAGGAAGATCTGCTGCAGCCGAGGCTCACGGTGTTCGAGGCGATGCAGTTCACCATGGACTTGAAGCTCGGCAACGTTCCGGGGGAAACGAAGCTCGCTGCTGTGAGGACGATTCTCTTCTTCCCTTTGGCTTACGGGGGATGTTATCGAGCCCGGAACTTCAAAAAGCCATGAAACTTTGCGTGCAAGTAAAGTACGTCTAGTCTGATGTATCGCAATCTCGATTTTCCGTCGAATCTCGCTTTGAAGGGCTGAAACCACCCCTATTTTGAGGTTTCTCGTGAATTTCAACTTTTTCTCGAGATAATCCACGGGAAAGGAAACTATGAATTTCAAGGGAACTACCCTTGAAAGTGAAATTGGGGAAGGATTGCAATGCAGGCTTGACTTACTCTATTCGCAAGTTTCACGGTTTCTGGGATTTCCGGTAACTTCCTTTGTTAAAGAGAAATTCCGATTCGCCGCGCGTTGCGTCGGAAAAGGAGTACTACGAGAAACCTATCGAATGGAAACGCAACTGTCGCGTGGAACCGACGACACGCTCCCGGACAGACAAAGGATACTCGAATTGCATCGCGTCTAAATTTGTATTCTCGGCGCACGCCTGGAGACGCTGGTAATCGTAATGGGAGGGAATCGTGTTTCGGTGTAGTTCCTTTGTCGTCCGGGGAATCCCTTCGTTCGCGATGCTCGATCTTCCCGAATCGACCGTTCTATTTTGTTCGGAGACATTCTGACAATCAATAACTAACGCTGCATACGTAGAACGTATGAATCTGACGCGTATCGAAATCGTAAATTCACCATGTAACGTTTATCAAATTCGATTTCGATCGATTATGCTAATTTACCTTTGAACCTCTAACTCCCGAGACTCGAACGAACGAGCATCGATTTGTCTAAGAAATATGAAATATACTGGACACAACAAGTGTCCGTAGACGCAGAGTTGAATCTACGCGATTGCCACTTGCCGTGATTCCAGATCGAAGAAATCCTTGAAGTTCTACGACTGAAGCGCGCGAGAAACACAGTCACCGAGAATCTGTCGGGCGGCGAAAGGAAAAGACTCTCGATCGCCTTGGAGCTTACGAACAATCCCCCAGTGATATTTCTCGATGAGCCGACCACGTGAGTATCTTGGCGCGAAGCTCTTAGCAACGTTGGTTAACGCGTTCCATGCCACGGACGTTTCGATTATATTTAGCTTACGAACTGTATTGATGCTTTAAATAAAATATTCACTTTTATTCAAGTTTCTAGTAACTTCGATAATTTTGATATTGTTCCTTTATGTTCTCGCTGCTTTGTAACCTGCATCATTCATGATCATAGAATCTTTATTAATGTCAATAGATTTTACTATTAATTTTTCTTCCTCCTTTATTACTTTTAGAAATACCATGCGATTTCTGGCCTCCTACGACTTTTCTGTATAATCTATCTTTGTAGTTCATTGTTTTTTGTGTACCAAAGGGTTGAAGCTTGTGTACTAAATAAATAAATGTGTCCCTTAACCCTTTCGCTAAGGTGGGCCACGAAGTTCCTTATGCAGAACGAAGCACCGTGCCGAAAGGAGCATTAACACGTTCGCTGCCAGTGTCATATTTGTAACAGCTGTAATCCCATTAATCCCAATAATCCCATTTTACATAATGACAATGAAATTAATCCTTTGGATATTGTTATCAGAAATGATAAACTACGTTATATTTAGGAACTCAATGACTCGCTTCAGTTTTATTTCTCTAATATTTTGTTTAGATTTATTGGATCGAAGGAAATATTATAATTGAGGAGACCGTCGCTGAAACAAGCGCTGGTAGCGAACGTGTTAAGCGTGCGCAGTCTTCAGCGCCGTTGTGACGCTGCTTTTAGGAGCAAACTGATTTGTATTCATAGCAACGCGTTTATAATCTCCCACGAACGTATTGTTTACGTTGTCTTAACTTCTGGCTCCTTTTTCGTGGCCAGTGACTATAGTCACCCGTAGCGAAGGGGTTGAAAATATTTTCTTACAGGCGGCACTGAACGTGTTAACCCTTTGAACTCTGTAGGCTCCAATATCGCACCAGTTATTATAAATATTTTAATGAATCTTAAAGAAACTACCCTAGAATTATCAGATTTTCCACATATCCAAATTTTGTACTAAGGAAAATAAATCGAAGAAATGTTATAGCATTCATTTTCGCTAGGAATACTATAAGAATTAGTTGCAGTTGCTGATAGATTACAGAACAACCTGGAGTGATAAGGGTTAACAGTAGAACTACCGTATCAGTCGTTTAGACTGGTTTCAATTTGTTTGTTTCGGAATTATTGATATCTTGCATCGAATAGTCGTAATGATTTTGAAAATAGTTTCACTTGAATATTATGGTGAATGCCTGGAGAAACCGAAGATAATTTATTGTCATCATTTTTGTAGGGAGTACGTATCAATCGTATGCTCGGTAATTCTAGTGTTAACCCTTTACACTCGAGGGGTGAGTCTCACTTGATTTCATACGAAACTATAAAATTTAATATTTAACCCTTTGCACTCGAGAATATTTTTCTCAACAAACATTCATTATTTTCTGATTAAATATCAATGATATGTTTTACAACTAACAGAAAGACCTTGTATAAATTGACATAACCAGTTTATTTCGATGTTCCATGTGTCGATACGTTATATAAAATTTCATATTTAATCCTTTGCACTCGAGAATATTTTTCTCAACAAACATTCATTATTTTCTGATTAAATAACAATGATATGTTTTACAACTAACAGAAAGACCTTGTATAAATTGAGTGACACGACCAGTTTATTTCGATGTTCCATGTGTCGATAGATTATATAACATTCATTATTTTCTGATTAAATATCAATGATATGTTTTACAACTAACAGAAAGACCTTGGATAAATTAAGTGACATAACCAGTTTATTTCGATGTTCCATGTGTCGATACATTATATAACATTCATTATTTTCTGATTAAACATGATTCATTCATTTCTCATTGTCGCTAGGAATATTATAAGAATTAGTTGCAGTTGCCGATAGGTCACAAAGCAACCTCCAGTGCTAAGGGTTAAACGACCGATTTCAGGGGACTGGACGAAATATCAGCTCTGCAATGCGTGGATATGCTGAAGCAGGTGGCGCAGTTGGGGAGGACCGTGATCTGTTCGTTGCACACGCCGAGCGCGACAATGTTCTCCAGGTTCGATCACATTTACGTGATAGCCGAAGGTCAGTGCGTCTACAGGAGCACCGTGGACGATCTCGTGCCGTTCCTCCAGCAGGTCGGCATCGAGTGCCCGAAGCACTACAATCCCGCCGATTTCAGTGAGTTCACGAAGATCTCGCGGCGATTTCAACGTATTGAGCGCCGGCGACTTAACCCTTTGAACTCTGTAGGCTCCAATATCGCACCACTTATAATATCAAATATCTTAACGAGACAAAGAAACTACTCTACAATTATTAAATTTTCCACAAATTTCGTACTGAGAAGAAAAATAAGAGATCGAAGGAATATTACAGCATTTCACATTTTCACTGGAGATACGCCTTCATTCGCTTGTATCTAATCAATGAGTAGCCAAAAAATATTCAAAACATACATTTTCGTGAAATAGTACATTTTAATTGCACATTCGTCAAATCCAGAAACAGAAATCCAATCGGCATTATTGCGGCGCTCAAGCGATAAATTCAGAATCCCGCGTTTTCACGGGAAACTTCAATTTCTCAATGCGTTAAACGATACAGCATGATCGTTAACGTTCCTTGTTTGTTCCAGTGATAGAAGTATCAGCGGGCGAGTACGGAACGGAATGGATCGGCCGATTGATGAGTTTCGTCGACACGGAGCTGCCGATCGTCCCAATTTCCCCGTGGTCCAAGGAGAAGGAGCAGTTCGCGAAAGAGACGATCAGCGTGCCCTGGCTCGATCAGTTCGTCATTTTATCGAAAAGGATGCTGTTGCAGTTGTACAGGAACAGGGTACGAGGAATCGATCGATGTTCGCCAATTTGTTTCGCAGCGATTAAACGTTCTCTCGTTTTCCCGTAGAGCTATGTATATATGAAACTCAGCATTCACGTGTTCCTCGGCTTGGTGATCGGCGCGCTGTTCCAAAACGTTGGGAACGACGGAACGAAGAGTTTGTTCAACTTTGGCTTCTGCTTCGCCTCTTTGATGATATTCCTCTACGTACCCATGTTACCGACATTGATGCAGTGTAAGGAAATCATATTCTCGCGAGCGCAGCCAACGTCTCGCGTGTAAAGTTAATTGTTTCTGATGAAATCTGTTCGCTTTGTCGTATGTGTCCCTTTGCAGTCGAAAGTTCTGCTCTAGAAATATTTCTCCATGAAATGTAAACGACAGTCGACACGGACTATTGAGAAATTGTACGGAAATTAGGAAACAGCTGTTTTATTTGAATATTTCACGTATCGACACGAAGCGTAATGTTACGTGTAAGACTATAATTTTGTTGTCAAATCTAGTGAAATTAGGAAACAGCTGTTTTATTTGAATATTTCACGTGTCGATACGAAGCATAATGTTACGTGTAAGACTATAATTTTTTTGTCAAATGTAATGATATTAGGAAACAAAGCTGTTTTATTTGAATATTTCACGTATCATACGAAGCATAATGTTACGTGTAAGAATATAAATTTTTATGTCAAATCTAGTGAAATTAAGAAACAAAGCTGTTTTATTTGAATATTTCACGTATCGATGCATCATACGAATGTTACGTGTGAGACTATAATTTTTTTATGTCAAATCTAGTGGTGACCTCTCGCAAAGGCATATTAACCCTTTGCCCTCGAAAGGCGACTCCCAGTCGCCAACATTACAAACTTTATATTTACCATTACCCTCTATATGCTGCATCGATGCGTGAAATATTGAAAGAAAATAGCTTCAGTTCCCTAATTCATATGTGATTTCTTAACAAATTCATTTCAAAGTATCTCGTCTACGTCTAATTAGAACGTACTGGATATTTCAAGTGAGAATCTCTCGAGTGCAAAGGGTTAATCGATATTGTCTTGCGCGTTCCTCTTAACACGCTCTTTTCCGCGCGCCATCCTCTCCTCGAGCTAATTAATCTAATTATCTTGCAGTTCCTGCGGAAGTGCAACTGGTCAAACGTGAATACTTCAACATGTGGTACAACTTGAGCCCGTATTACTGTGCATTCACCGTAGTCAGCATACCGACGCGGGTCAGATTATGACTAATTTATTTATTAACGAGTCGCGCGTGCAACCTATTCATTACCGTCTGTTTCCCCTGCCGTTCGTAGATAATGGAGTCAACGATATACCTGTCGATAGCGTACCTGATCACGGGGCAACCTTTGGAGCTCTTCAGGTGCTCCTTGTTCTTTAGCATCTGTATCATGTGCATGTTCATCGCGGAGAGTATGGCTTTGGCTGTGGCGAGCACCTTAAGTACCATAGTACGTTGCCTTTTCGTCTTCCTCGTGTCAACGCATTCGCGACTGCAAACAATTGTTTAACCGTTTGGACGCTAAACAATTTTTCTGGATATTTACCAAAAATGCGATGATTGGGTGTGTAAAAAAATTAATAAGAGTAGTTATCTAATGAGATCATAAGTATTGTGTTATTACAAAAAGTATCAAAAAGTAACATTTATTCAAATAAATTTACTTTGATTTATTTCTTGAAGAACATAGTAAGAAAATTATAATTGATACTGATAAACTGTTCTCTTTTGCTCATCAGTTCATAAACTTCAGTTAATCATAATAATAATTCATTATTCATCATTTATTGACGAACTCTCCGCAATTTTGGCACAAAACGTGAAAAGATATCGTCTGTACGTCAGCAGTCTCGAATGTGTTCACGCATTCTCGTCGAGTCTCTACATAAATTTGCTTTTCAGAACGGACTGTTCGTTGGGACTGTTATGACGGTACCTTTAATGTTGTTCGCGGTACAGGGTTTAGGCGAGACAAAACCGTTGCCCATTTATCGTAGTCTGACGATGTACGTGAGTTATATACGGTACGGCTTAGAAGGACTCGTGACTAGCTTGTACGGTTACAACAGAGGAAAACTGTATTGCCCGCCGTCGGAGTACTTCTGCTACTTTGCGGTACCACAGCAACTTTTGCTGATAATGCGTAAGATCCATTTAGATACGGTTAACCCTTTGCGGGTGAAAACTCTTTAAAGTACACGAAGCTAAATTATACATTGAATACTTAACGCGAATTATTATAATTCACTCAATTAAACGATGATTATTCGCAAACATTTCTATATAAATAATGCTACCCATTGCGGTGACATTCAGTTTGACAAACGTGCAATGGTAATCCAATTCAGTCAAATGATTTAATATTGTATTTTTCCCATTTTGTGTACTTTGCTCTATGAAATCGTGCGGCGTTCAACGTGGTAAACAATAGTAAAAAGAGAACACACTGGTCAGTTACTGTTCAAGTAATTAAATCATTCGTTTGCATCTTAGTATTCCTAATATGAAAATTTCATCTAACCGAAATGTCGACGTCCGTCCGCAAAGGGTTAAACTTTACATCGCGGTGACGAGTGTCGTAACAACAGAGTAAACGCAGTGAATCTCGTTTCAGGGATGGAACACGTACAAATGTGGATAAACATTTTCGCCCTGCTAGTCGTTCTTCTTGCGATGAAGATCCTTACTTTTTATTTACTGAGACAGAGGCTCACGCCGAACAAGACATTCCAAGCCCTTCGTCTTGCCGGTAGATTAATAAAGGGACACCTTAACATCAATACTTAAAGCTCACTTCTCTAATCTCGATGCAGCGTCTACGGGGTTAAAGAGAATCCGATGTTCTCCTGCATCCCCTAACGAAGGGTAGGTCTAAATTAATCACGGTTTATTAGTAACTACTATTTTGCGGAGCGTTTGTACGCATCGTTCCAGTTGAAGCATTGTTTTACCCCCTGCCGTACAATGACGAGTGAGACTCAATGAAGATTTCCAGATTAATTGAACAAGAATGTTCGTTATCCACGGATCAAAGCAAAAAACTATTTCGTTATCAATGTATTATTAAATGAAATATCCGCTTCAAATAGAACAGATCATTTTGTTATATTTCCAAATTGATAGTAAAATGCTACGCGAGCTCAGTAGCGAAAGTGAATGATACGGCAAGAGGTTAACAATAGATTTACGGAGCGCGTCAGTTTGATACGTATTGAATTTTATAAATATTTAGTAAAAAATAAAAATTATTACTATTCGATGCAAGATATCAATAATTCCGAAACAAACATTGAAACCAGTCTAAACGACTGATACGGTAGTTCTACTGTTAACCCTTATCACTCTAGGTTGTTCTGTAATCTATCAGCAACTGCAACTAATTTTTATAGTATTCCCAGCGAAAATGAATGCTATAACATTTCTTCGATTTATTTTCCTTAGTACAAAATTTGGATATGTGGAAAATCTGATAATTCTAGGGTAGTTTCTTTAAGATTCATTAAAATATTATAACTGGTGCAATATTGGAGCCTACAGAGTTCAAAGGGTGAAACATCGCGTAAATCATTTCTTGTTGCGTACAACGACAGTGGCGACTCATTGTGTTGGTGCACGGAACTGCGATGCGAGCTGATTTACACGTAAGCGTGTAGGGTTGCATGCGAGAAGGGTTATTGTAATAAAGAATATGGAGCCGATGCAAGGATGAATGTGATGTAGTCAAATCGTACGCGTACGCTTGCCTGCAATCGTTTCCCAAGTTCCGAGTCAATAGTATTCGCGGATAACGGTCGCGTTTAGTAGATAATTTATATGAAATTCGCTCGTTTAAACATTGCACGTTACATAACGTGATTCATACCGACACTTGGGCCTATACAGGTGCGAATTTACGAGGTGATAAGTTCAACGTCTCGAAAACACTGCGAGTGCTCGACGCGTGCTTGGCTAACGGTTGCGTACGTCGGGAAGCATACATGGCGGAGAAATTGAATGTTGATGCTAACGGATCGATCGAAAAATTCGAAACTCAAAGGTTCCCGTGTACGTCGAAGCATACGGAACTTCGAACCGTTACATGATATTATATTTTTACTCGACTTTTGTACACGTTATCGGAATAAACCACTGAGAAGTACATTCGAAAGCGTTCCACGAGGAACTGTGTTCGGGAACAAAGGAATCAACAGATGATCACGGCTAATCGTTATCTGCTCTCGGCTTGACGGCGGTCGAGCAACGGAACGGGAAAGCGTCGGCTGATAAGCGACGAACTTTTTCAATCGTAACTCTTTTTTTAATGTACACACCATTTCAAACGATTTGTCGTATTATCGCCGATGACATTGTGTTAACGTACTGGGGACACAGGTAGCCGAGCAGCAGTCACGTAACTTGTGGGAAATAGAAATGGTGGGGCGGTCCTTATAAAAGACGATGAGAGCATAGTGCTAGATTAAGACGAGTAACACACGCTCGTCGGGTACGTCGAGCTTGAACTCGCTTTGGGAAACTCGCAGAGATGTTTAGTCATAAAATAGGTTTACTATTATTTCTCCTCGCTGTGTTAAATGGGTGAGTCTCCTGTTTTTAATTAATATATTAACCCTTTGCACTCGAGAGGTGACTCTCGGTCACTTGATTTGATTTGGAAAATTATAGTCTTATATATAATATTAAGCTTTGTATGTGGAATATTGAAATAAAGTCCTCCTTAATTTATGTTTCCTCATTAATTAATTTCAAAGAACATTGTATCTCATCTGAGAATATTGAATATTTCTAGTGAAAAACTTTCGAGTGCAAAGGGTTACTCTATGACCTACAGTATCCTAACAAACTCGTGGAAATTTAAGCTGAATTATACTAACAAATCTATTACTTAGTTTCTTAGAATATTAATTACTTTTCTATTATCAATCGTAATATATCCAGAAAATATAACTCGTAAAAATTTTAATTGAATTATATACTAACAAATCTATTAGTTTCTTAGAATAATTAAATACTTTTCTATTATCAATCGTAATATATCCAGAAGATATATACAAAATAGACGACGTTCAGAGACTGTGTATACGCGGTAGATTTTCCAAATGAATGAATTCGAATTATAGTATTCCCCTGAAATGAACACCAATGAAATCAACAGGCACGCGACAGCGAGATCAAAGCACTTCGACGTTCTAATTTTCACTCAACGATGGCCGCAGACGATTTGCATCATGTGGAAAGAGGAATCACCTTCTCATTCTTGCGCGTTGCCAAGCGACACTCAGGAATGGACGATCCACGGGCTCTGGCCGACCGAATTTCACAGGATAGGGCCGGAATACTGTAACCCGTCGCTGCCGTTCGATCCCTCCGCGTTGAGTCCTTTGGAAGACCAATTAAAGGAGAAATGGATAGACATAGAGTTCGGTAGAGACTCTTACTCGCTCTGGAAACACGAGTGGGAGAAGCACGGCACTTGTGCGGCGGTGCTTCCTGAATTAAGTAACGAGCAGAAGTACTTCGAGGAGGGTCTCGCTTTGTTGTCGCAGTACGACATGAAAAATGTATTGGCTCAAGCCAACATCGTACCTGGATACCAATATGCGGCAACTGATATATTTAACGCAGTTCAACAAGTATTAGGCGCTAGTCCTGTAATCGTGTGCAGAAGAGACAGGGTGAGAAATCGTTTAACTTTTTGATGCGACTTACTACTCTTTGGAGATATAATGTTACGTTGTGTTAATGTATGTAAATATTATTTCAGGATTCCGGAGATTCATACTTATTCGAAATACGAATTTGTCTCAGCAAATCTTTGGAATTAACCAATTGCGATAGTGTTACTGAATTCCCTACGAATTGCGGTGAATCTACAAGCGTTGTGTATCCTGCTGATGTATCACAAGATTACAACGAGGTGTGACTGTTGCAGTTACACCGTGGAATTGTATAAAACTGTGCATAAGAAATATTTGAAGATGTTAAACGATTTCTATATACATGAGTTTTGAAACGATTTGATAATGAACGATTACCTTTATCTTTAAGCGGGTTTACTGTTTGAAATAAACTTCGCAGCATTTCCAAATGTGTAGTCTTTTTTATTCCTTGAACTTCTGTAGATCGTATCATTCTCGTATAATAAATGTCACAGGCCGTGTACTGCATATAAATTACAAACGGAGAATAGTTAAAAATTAAAAATGTCTTATCAATAAACAATCTGTTGGACATTGTACATTGATATATTTATTTGTAAGCCGTATTACTGGTTGTAAGGCAAGAAATTCCGGTATTTATGAAGATTGCTGCACTTTCTTCTTAACGATTATTACAGATGATGGTACTAACCCTGAAAACAAACAATCGTGATAGTCGTATGAGTGGACTTTGTTCCCGTGAATATCTCATTACTAGGAAAGATAGAGAATAGTGTTTATGTACAATTTTTGCAGATCATAACAGTTATCATAATCATATTAATGATAGCGGTATTACTAAGTGATCCTATTATATACCTAAAACATCTAATGGAGTGTCATAATCGTCTTCTGTGAAAATTTTCTTTGGGAAATTCGTCATTAGGCTAAATGGTCCAGTATCATCCGTTCTGTTCATTTCAATGTACAATCTTACTGCAGATAACTGTTCTTTGCTTCCAAACGTTTGCATTAATGTTTGTCCATTGGTAAGTCTAATCTGAAATGTTGAGTCTCATAGTTTCATTCGGTTATCGATTTACAAAGATATATACCAATAAATATGTAATTTGTTACCTGTAACTTTGTTTCACTATAGTCTTTTCTGGGGAGTGTTGTAGAAGATGAAGGTACGGGTGGAGTTTGTTGAGGTGGTTCTATGTTATTAGCTCTGGCACGTCTAGCCGCTTTGTCTGCTTCAATCTGCGCTTTTATCCTTTGTCGTGCTAGTTTTTCTTCTTCTTTTTCTTGCCTTCTTTGTTCCAACATCTTTTTTGTTTCTAATTCCTCCCATCTGCATTTACATTAAACAAAGAACTATTATTAATGGTCACTGTTTATAGATAATAAAAAACAAACTTACTTCTTTTTAGCTTGAGCCATTTCTTTTCCAACTCGTATCCTATTCTTCTCTCTTGTAAATGTATCTAATCTCTCCTGTTCTTCCCGCTCTTTATTTTTTTGTCTTAACTTTTCTGTTAATATTCTTAATTGTTCCTTCTTTTCCTCTTCTGTAAGAGGCTTCTTTTCTTCTGTACTTTCTGAAAATTTATCATGTCCAGACTTTGTTGCATGAAATTCAACTTCCAGATTAGTTTTGAATAGTTTCCCACATCTATGAATATGCATTTATTAGAATGAATTGAAGACTAATCAAGACTAGGGCAATAATTAATATACATACACATCACATTTCATAGATTTGGCAACTTCAGTAGTCGATACTTGACTACTAGCAGTCGCTGTGTTGTCCTCTGCTGGTGTTTCAGCAACAGACGTTGGTATATTTTCAACAACAGATTCAGGTGATGGTTCTGCATCATCTGAATGGGCCAAAAGCCTAAAACAAAAATTAAAATCGTTAGCGGACGATATGATTAAAGCCACAGATTTTTTCATACCATTCCATTGCTGGAACGACGCCTTTGTTTCCAGTCACCTCTAAAGCTTTCTCCCTAGAACAAAATACATGACAAGCCATTAAAGGTTAGACATATACAACAATGAATAAGAACAACTTACGCTTTAGGTAAACTGAAGCCCATGTCGACAAGCATGTTTATATCACTCGAAGACATTCTTTGTTATTTTGTTTTTGTTAAATTAATATATATTTTTCATTAACGAACAGTATTCAACGACCAGCGATCAAAAACTAAACGTCACGTTGAACCGACGCGCTACCTACACCAGTTCAGACACGTTTTATAACGGTACATACTGATGGAATCACCGGAAGATGTGTATGTCGTAATATTAAAAATGTAATTTTTTAAAGTTCAATATATATGAACATACATAAAAAATTCTTATATTTGCGTTACAATTGCGCAAAATACATGCATTCAAGGGGAAGGTAAACATTTTCTTAAAGACAATATAAAGTGAAGAGTAATCAGTTTATTTTCACTCTAAATGTTGTTTACAGTCAACAAAAACATATAATCCGTTATTATAATTACCGTTTATTATTATAATTCATAGAATATGGAGATTTTAATAAAAAATCAGTCAAAATAAAATGAAGTGGATATATTAATGGAAGTGAAGACTTAAATTATACAACTTATATGTAGGTACATAAAATGTTTATCTTAAGTAAAAATGCAATACACTCTTGTACATTACTCAAACGAAAAATATTATTTGGTAATGAATGAAGTAGATTGCATTATTCACTTAGACAAGGCTATCATGTGTGTGATTGGAATAATGATTGTGATTCTGATACATTCTAGATATTCGTTTCTTTTCGCCAAAAATTGAAGAATGAAGGATATAGTCCTAAAGTACTGTTAAGTTAAAAAGGTTGTTATTCTAATATTCTTGGGATGCTTTGTCTCCTTTTCCAGATCCACCGGTACCAGTCTTTTTCGGCAAAAGAACTGCTTGGATGTTAGGCAGAACACCACCTTGAGCAATGGTTACACCAGAGAGCAACTTATTCAACTCTTCGTCATTACGAATAGCTAGCTGCAGATGACGTGGAATTATCCTAAAAAAAACAGAGAAACGAACACATGTAGTATAAACATTTTAAAAGCCTATGAATCAGGCAGCAGCAATTTCTTAATATGAAGAGTTTATGACCTTTAAATGTTATCCAAACTTGCAAAAAGACAAATTATGAAAGTCATGTAATTGTATTGCTCAATTGTATACAATGCATTCATTACTTTATTACTGAGCTTGAAGAGAACAATTTCTCTTTTGAAGCATTACTTAAATACAATAGCTGTAAATATTTACAAAAAATATATATCTCAATGAAATCTAAATATCGAAATACATGTGCAGAAAAATATACGTTACAAGAAGGGGGATAGGGGAGAGGTAAAGGGAGAAAGAGAGAAACAGAGAGGGAGAGAGGGGGAGAGAGAGAGAGAGAGAGAGAATGGAAAGGCTTGCTCGACCAACCTTGTCTTCTTGTTGTCTCTTGCGGCATTCCCGGCTAACTCGAGTACTTCAGCCGCTAAATATTCCATTACTGCAGCTAAATAGACCGGTGCTCCAGCTCCCACTCGTTCCGCGTAATTCCCTTTTCTCAGAAGACGATGGATTCTTCCAACCGGGAACTGCAGCCCTGCCCTGCTGCTGCGGGTCTTCGCCTTTCCCTTAGTCTTTCCTAGAAGAACAAAAACGATCCTCCCATTTTCCAGCAACTTGGGTTAATAGTCACAAAGAAAATGTTATACTTACCACCTTTACCGCGTCCTGACATTTTCCAAGATAATCTGGTTAAACTCGACTCGCACACGAACAACGGAAGAACTTCCTCCTTAGAATGCCTAACTTCAAATGAACCTCTACCCTCACCAACGACGGTTATGCGTATGGACGTCAGATATTTTGGCGGCGACAGTTAGGTCGGCGCCTAGTTTGCGCGGGAACGCTATCTCTAACTCGGCGGAACTTTGTGGCGCCACTGTCGCAAGATTAAAGTCTCTAGACAACGACGTGAACTGTTTCAAGAATATGGTCGTTGTTTGCTTAAAAAAAATTCTAAACTCCGGAGGGATATGTTACTGATTAAATATACAATAGAAAATATAAAATAATCATTATATGTAGTTACCTCACCGTGATGTATTACATGATTTATCCCTAGGTACGCGGATTATCTTCTAGTATAAAATTACTAGAACTCCCAACCCTTGGAATCGAAAGGTAACTAACGGTTATAACGTCGGTGACATTTTAATGAAATTCGAACAGCAAATTTTACAATATAAAATACATACAAGATTAATACAATGTAGAGAAATACTGAAGATTATTAACGAGATGTGTTTTCATTTTTTCCCTTGCCTCTTTTATAATTTTGCGTTTTCATCTATCGCATAGCAAATCTCGGGAACTAATTTAATAATTCAATATATGTAATTTCTGCACGATATCATAATAAGAAACGAACTATACCTTTATTTTTAATTCTTTACTGTATATGTAAATTTGTAACATATTTGTCATAATAAATCTTGAAACTATTATTTAAACGCTACGATATAGTTTAGACTTTTGTCGTGATAAACTCTATCATGATATAAATTGGAGCTAACAGAGGGAATTAACATTTGTGTAATGATGGCTGCAGAATGTCAGGGGCGATGATCACATATATGCTAATTTTTCCAGCACACAACAGAGTCGTCATCTAGCGGTGAATATTTTAAATTATTTTTCCTTATTGCGCAGACTTATGGTACGTATTAAAGTTTCCCTTAATAATAATAAATAAAGTCAATTCCTATCTGTTAGTAGAAATTGTTTAACTTCACATTTTAAAATTCTTTTGTTAATATCCGTAATATTCTTTTTGTAAATAGTTAGTCAGAAGATTTTGAATGTTTTTATTTTATAAAATATTTTGAATATGTTATTTTATAAAATAATGCATGAAATATTTTTATTTGAAATATATTAGTTAAAGATACACATCACACCACGTGAATTTTCATATCGGTAATATTTGTTTACCGGTTTCAGCCTTTTGACACGGATGGCGCCACGATCTATCCGTGTGAACTTCCAGATCGGTAACTTTTGTCTACCGGTTTCAGCCTTTTGCCACGGATGGCGCCACAGTCTATCCTTGTAAACTTCCAGATCGGTAACTTTTGTCTACCGGTTTCAGCCTTTTGCCACGGATGGCGCCACAGTCTATCCTTGTAAACTTCCAGATCGGTAACAATCGTCTACCGGTTTCAGCGTTTTGCCACTGATGGCGCCACAGTCTATCCTTGTAAACTTCCAGATCGGTAACAATCGTCTACCGGTTTGAGCCGTTTGCCACGGATGGCGCCACCTGTCAAAAAGTCTGTTTTTTTTAAATAAAAAAACTAATTCCCACACACTACAAAATTACGTATTAAAATACGATTATAAATCACACAATACACGCTAAAACCACTGATAAACTTACAATTTCCAATGAATAATTATCCTGACTCGCCACTTACCTCCAATCAAAAGCCACCCTCATCCCAAAGTCAGGACAGTGATTGCAACGCGTTCGATATCTATGACGCAGTTTATTATACAATTACAATACTCTTACTAATTATACTGTGATAATGATCGTAATAATACCGTAGTCTAGGTAACACGAACTATTCCAGATTGATATGACTTTATTTATACAGCGTCATGCACGCACTCTCGCCCTTTCTCTCCCGCCCATTCTCTCGGTCTCTCGTTCTTCCCCGTGCACGCCGGCTTCCGGCGGAACCGGAAGGCCCCAAAGGCGGACGTCAGAAATCCGTCGGGCAATTAATTATTCCTAATGTTGCTCGCGCAGCTCGCGGGCTCGATTCGACTCCCGATCGCGGACGTGTGCGCCTATCCTCTTAAAACGAACGCGAGTCGCTAATTCATGGTACAAAATAGTTTTAGACAACTTTGCCGCCAGACGGAGGCGTTCCTCCGCCCCCGTCGTCGGCGACTCTATCATTAGAATTATTATTCCGTTTTTTTCCCTTTAAGAACTGTTATACCGTGCTCCTTCGTTCTGTTCTCGCCTAACGTTTAGTCCGGTTCGAGCTTAACAAACACGCTACTCGTTAATGGTACTCGTCCCTTAACTAATTAATCGTTAATCCCACGCACCGAGCCGAACAACGCGCGCGTGTCCCATTATTTACCAGGTTACACATCGAGTTTCGTTTAGTAAGTCCCTAATAGTAATCGCTAGCCGTCTCTCTCTCGTCGCTCCGAGGACGAATCGTACACCTCTACTGATTGATTAGACGACCGACTAACTTCGGTACAACCAGCGCCCGATTCTCTGCGCGGCGAACGCTATCTCTCCCTGTGTCGCGATCACGCGATCGTTTCCGCGTGCCTTCTTTTATAAGATTACTTGCGAACGTATGTACAAATCGATCGCGGTGGGACGGTAGCAGCGAAAATTCTCCTGCGAATTCTGACGAACGTTCGTTTCGAAACGGAAACAGAGAAATCACACCGATCGCGGATAAAAACGTCCGTTGTGGAATCCCAATGAATCCATCGTGCTTCGCGCGTTACTATCGATACACGATACTGTATACTATAAATAACGAAACTATAGAAATGGAAACAAAGGATAGTTGGAGCACAGAAAGAAACCAAAGAAATAAAAGAAAGCGAAATAACTAAAGTCTGTCTAGCATTTTTATTTTCAAATAATAAAAGTTAAAATATAATGAAATAATAATAATAATAATAATAATAAATCATTAATAATAGATAATGAATAATAATTAGTAATAATTATTATTGATAATTAATAATAATAATAGTAATAATAATAATAATAATAATAATAATAATAATCACTGTACTAATGCGTCTATCGCGGAATGCGCCGGCTCATCGAGGTTCACCACGAAATGAACCAATGACACGTCGATCAGAGGGCGGTGGAGGGTTGGTTAGGGGCAAAGGACAACTAACTTCTCTCTATCTACAATTTCTTATCGCAATCACCGACGAACGAGAAGAACCAACGAGGACAAATAAAATGGACAACCTTCGTTCTTCGATTCTCCATCAGTTTTTGTCCCTCGATCGCTAAACTGCGGCCGTTCACGCGGTTATAAAATACGAAAAAGTTCTGATTCACTGAAAACGAAAGAAAAGGAAGGTTTTTGTAGTTCGGTGTCCGTCGATCTTTCACGCGTATCAAAATTTCGAAGGAAACGTACGGCGGACGCGTGAAAACCCGCAGTCCATCGATCGTGTTCCGCTTCTCCTCCGTCGTCCGTCGTTCTCACTCGTTTCGACCTTATAAAACGTCTGACAGCACCTCGGCCACGAGGATGGGTGCTCTAGGAACTCTTTGTCGTATCGTTTCATCGTTTCTTTCCTCGGCTATCTCGTGTTCCCTTTCTTTCTCACACTCTCTCACTCTCTCTCTCTCTCTCTCTCTTCCTTTCTCTCGGTAACTCGCGTTCTCTCGCAGAAAACAGACTCGCTCACGTTCGCGCTTCTCTCTGCTTCGCTACAGCTTGGTCCACGACTCTGGAAGTTGATGATCGGAAAGCAAAACGATGTGTGGCTAGGAAAATTGTGGGCGTGGGGGTGTGAAGACGCTTGGGCACGAGCGAGGGGATGATTTCGAACGGAACGCTCGGGCACGCGATCGTTGCGTGATCTCGCGCGATAAATACATGCATACACGCGCAAACATGCGTCCATTCGTACATATATACAAACATGTTCATTCGTATATACATTCATATATGTACACAAACATACATTCATTCAAACATACAAACATACGAACAGACAAACGAACCTAGATTCACGCGCACGTACACGTTATTATATTATACATAACCACGCGGCCAGAATATATTAAAATATCGAAAATATATTGTAATATATCGTGTCGCGTCGACCTGGTTCCAGGAGGAAATCACATATAATATAATATCAAACTCGCTCACGTGCGCGCGCGTCGATTGCACGCGCGGCTCTTAATCGCGCGTGATTGATCGATGCGTGGACACGTATACACTTGTGTTGTTACAAAAGGGAGGGGGGCACTCGCGACAAATGTACACGGTCGAAACGCACTGCGGTTTTGCGGCGAAGTCGAGCGATTCGGAAGCTAAATAGTTCTAGAAGACTGTCAATTCTCGTAACTTGGAATGTTACTTGAAATGAAGAATTTATAGAATAATCGAAGACTATAAATATTTGTAGCCTTGGTACTAATAGTAAGTAGTTATAAATTTAACGTGATAATTCAAATCTAGGCAACTAAAGAATAATTGAAAATTGCTAATATTAAATAGCACGATAATGAAATTAGTAAATCGTATTTGTTTCGTAGAAAGTTAACTCAGATTGCGATTGAAATTTCTCGCAGTAAATGGTTCACTTTAATAAAATAAAGTAAACTGATATTTAGTAGCCCGAACCTTTCGACTTCCGGTTCCGACAATCCAGCGCCGCTCGATGATACCTACAGGTTAAGAATACTTAATAATGATCGTCGTATTAATAAGAAACGATGACAACTCGGCCGCGTTTATCCGGCAATCGTCGCTCCTCGTCGATTCTCCTTCTATTATTTACAAAACACGTCCACTTTATACATTTATGTATAGTTATGTATATATTTATACATGCATATGTATATCTCGCGCGACTCTTCCGCGTCTCTCCCTTCCGTGTACGCGTGTACACACACATATATATATATTCATAATATAATATAATATATTTATACGTATATCCACGATCCTTAGCATACGGCGATTACGATATTACTTCTATTGTGTACGGCCCTTGCGACCACGTCCGTTCCTCGTCTAAGATCATAGCCCTAAATTTAGTCACCGGTTGTTCACCACCTCGAGGCGGTCCAATTCAGCCTGCCAGACCGAGAATTCAATTTTACATCAACGGTATACGCTCAATTTTGGATATTCATTGAAAATTGTTAGGAAATCATAGGAAGAGACATTCGTTTTACTCAATTTCAATCGTCGTTAGGGAACGACAGTTTTTAGATGTTTTCTTTAAATTTCAATTAATATATTAATAAGGATTTATTCGCTGTACATTCGCAAGAATGTATGGAAACTTCGCAGTGTACGAAAGTTTCAATGTTTAAATCGAATGGAACTTCAAATTGAGAAGCGAGGTAACGAGCTCTCGGTCGTCGAGCCTAAATTCGACCTCTGTAAACGTACATGCGCTACATATGTGTAATTATTCTGCGTGCAGCGGGTGTATATATACCGTATGTACACGTACGCACGTATCTACAAGAGCTAACCCTCGTGTCTGTCCAAGGAATGTCGCGGAGAATACGAATATGCTCTCGGTTCGACGGCTCCGACGCGTCGAGCAAGATGGCGCTTGACCAAGCGTTGAAATCACTCGCGTCGCCACACGTTCGCGACGTTATTCCACGGAAACCCGTTCCCTCTGAAACGGGAACCGTCCTCTAAGTAATCGAATCGCTCGTTACGCAAATGAAAAAATAATTTCAAACCATCCTTACGAAATATTTTCGACGATCATTCGATTTATCCGAATTCTTTCCGTTCGGGACTAGCGGTCCGCCGCCTAACCTGCAGCGTCAAGTGTTTCCATCTTTGTTCCTCCGTTTACTCGCGAGAAGATACTTTGGTTAACGAATAGTTACTAGTAGACTGTGAATTTTATGTATCTGTAATCACTTCGGATGAACCTAACGGAATAATAATTTCAGCAATCAACGAAGCGTTCGTGTCAGATAATTCTTCAATAACTCGTAGAGTAGTTTTATTGATGAAATCAGTTTATTTCTAAAGATAGTGTTTCCAAATTGATTTATAATGATCGATACTCGCATAAATATCCGCAGTCCACTTCTTACAAAAGGACAAAACCGATCGTCGAAGACCCCGAGGGCCCGGCGAAGAGCGCGGCACTCGTATTCTCGCTAACTTCGCGGAAATTAACGCTAGCGTATTTATGTACAGATTCGGGACACGGATATGTATGACGACAGACACGCAACCGTACGCATTAATTATGTACAAACGTATTGTCGGACCTCGCCGCATTTTTCGTTCGACGGACGAAGGAGCGTGGCGTCGAGCTCGAGGATCGGGAACTCGTTCGATCGTCCCGCGACATTCATCATTGAAAATCGATACCCGATATCATTACCAAACTCGGAATTTAAAGCAGTCCTCCGGACAGAACCTTGTTCCTGCACGTATAAATATTCAATTTTTCCCATTAGCTTCTCGTTCCTCGTTTTATTCATTCCTTGTGTCATCGTAATTTTGTTTCACGTGTAACAAAACCGCTCGTATAAACGAACTGATAAATATTCCTGCAACATCGTGTGCGTCGATTGTCATTGGAATTCCAAAAAACAGAACAGTCGAAATTAATTTCAAGATAGCTCTAGTTTCCCGTGGCAGTGAGACGAGTTCCCTTAAATCACGACAGGCACAATTTTACAAGAATATTCTTATTCACTTTCGAAACTTTTCACCGTTTGTTCTCGAATATTTTCGTTATATATTTTCAAATATTTTTATCAATTATTTTTTAATATTCCTACTACTCACATTACTACTTGCAGTGAACGAGTTCTCGATCCAAAAATGGCGGACGCTCCCTCGCCAGTCGTTAGTAAACCCTGCTTGCCACGAAGAACCGAGCGCTACGAGGAACGCTCGTCCTCTCCGAAGGAACCGTCCTCGTTCGCGTCGCGACGCGAGGAGCATTCCTCTCGCGATCGATGGAGAAACCGCGCGCGGGAAACCGTTCAAGATCGCCGATCGAAGTTGCATGCAGCACTCGGCGCGACAAAAGTGCGCGTTCGACTCGGGGCGAAGAAAGAGAAAAGAAAAGAAGAAGGGAAAAAAGGAGAGAAGAAAATCAAACAACATCGGAGGGAAACCAGTCGATAATTACACGCGCATCGTCGAACGGTTCCCCTCTTGATAAATATTTCATGATAATTCAAATGATAACTCGGTGGAAGCCGATTAAGGACTTACTTTATGGCGGCCGGCTGCATTCGTGTCATTAATTGCATCTCTGTAAAGTGAACCTTGAACGCGACCGTGCACCGTCCAGTATGCAGGAATGAAGGCCTCAAAGTAAATTCATTTTCCGATTGTGCCGGTTCACCTTTCCAAATAATCCCCAACAAAAACTACGGCTCGTATCTGGTTCTCCGTAAAATCCTAATCGAAGGTACCCCGTCGAATCGATCGAGTCGGCGAGACACGGGCGACCTTCCTCGCGAATGAACGAACATTTACAAACTTCCGAAGCCTCGTTCGCCGCAACGGGACGATTTACAAGTTCCCCAACCGGTCGGCGTTCGCAATCGGTAGAAACACGGTAATACTGAAAGAAATCGTGAAACTCAACGAAAACACCGTACCCGGAAACGGACTCCTCTCTCCTCCGGTCGTTCGACACTGAATTTCCTAGCGCTTAACGGGTAATTGTCTAAAAACAAGTCTTTCGTCGAGTTCTCTCCGGAACGTGGGGCGCCTCGTATACTCATCGACCTCTCGATGCTACCTTGTAATGAAACGGTACATAAGAATCGTGTCCGCGATCCCCGATCTCCCTTCTCCCAAGGCGAGACCCTCGATCGTGGAGTCTCCGACAGTCGTGGAACCTCGCCACCAGGATATGTATCGAATCGTATCGTCGACAGTCTCGCTGACACCTCCGTTTGCTCCCAAGACTCTGCTATTGCTCTCCAGGCCATACTCTAGCGACGATCCTCCTCTTCCCGATCGATCTAGACTCGCGCCAAATTCCATTTGGCGCCGACGTACGCCCATCTAGGTCCGACAGGTCTCACCAGCGGCATCGTCTGCTAAGATCCAAGATCGTCCATGAGTCTGTTCGATCCTCTAATGATAGAACTCGGGCAGATTGCACAAACGTCGCTGCTGCTGCTGCTGCTGCTGCTGTTGCTGCTGCTGATGCGGTTGCTGGTGATGGTGCTGATGATAAATCGCGTCCCCCTGCTGGTGGGCCGACTGCTGGTGTCACTCGTGGGACTTGCCGCCGAGTGGATGGTAGTTGCCACCCGCGGATGCGACTAGGGCCAACGGTAGAGGCGAGCCTAGTGGCGTCGGGTGGGGGTGCGAGTGACCCATACCAGAGGAGTGCGTCGTCAGGGCGAGAGGGCTGCCGGACATGGAGCTGGCTAGCGACGCGAACACCGAGGGAGCCGGGGACGCCATTGTTGGGCTGCCCATCGCCGCTGTTGGGGGGTTGATCCTTTTTTCCTTCTGCCGTCTGGAAAGGCAAGGCTCCGAGTTAGATCGGATGATTGAGATTGGGGGGAGTAATTGTTAGCAGAGTACTAACTTTGATAGTTCTTGACCGTTCGTAGTGATCAATATTTCTCTTTTGTGATTTTATTATTATTTTTTTCTGCTTTCTAGAATTAAAGATAGTTATGACAGTATCAGAAGAGTCTAGATTATCAATAGATTAATACGGAACATGAATTTCGGGGAGTTCAAGTGGACTGGAGGGTCGAGTTTCTGGTTGCAGCGGAATTGGTAGATGCGACAGGGATGCGTTCTGGAGGATGATAACTCGATGATTAAGGGGTAGATTTACCTATTGCAGAACCACACTCGAACGACTTCCTTCTCCATCGCCAAACTATCAGCTAATATAGTGATCTCCTCCGAGGTGGGCTTCGGGTTCTGCACGAACGCTTTCTCCAGCGCCACCCTTACGCTGGTCTCTATCGAGGTCCTCTTCTTCCGCCGCCTGCCGATGGCTTCTGGAGTGGTGAGTGGGTTCGAAAGGGAGTTGGGGTTGTTCAGGGAATTATCCGCGTCCTCCAGCCACTTCTGCAACAACGGCTTCAGTTTGCACATGTTTTTGAAGGAGAGGTTCAGCGCCTCGAACCTGCAACACAAGAAAATTCAACGTTCAGAACTGGATAAGACTTGTGCTATTTATCTTTCAGATAATTCCCTTTCTAGCAAGATATCGATCGAAGTAACAAGCAGCCTATTTTTTAAACTTCCAGCTTATAAAGATGATTGGTAACAGCAGTTGTACAGTGATTGGAACGAACCATTCGATTATTGGACTCATTGAAACGATTGAACACTGATCGAACTAACCTGGAGATCGTGGTCTGCGAGAAATCATTGCCATAAAGCTTGCCCATAGCCAGGCCAACGTCGCCCTGCGTGAAACCGAGCTTGATCCGCCTCTGCTTGAAGGTCTTCGCGAACTGTTCGAGTTCCTCGAGGTCCGTGGTTTCCTCCGGAGAGGGTTCGAGCCTGGTCGGCGGCTGTTTGACCGCTGGCGGCGTGCCAGGCGGCGGCGGTGACCTTTGTTGCGTCAAACCCCGACCAACCAGACCACCGCCACCCTGAAGAGCCTGCTGCTTCTGCAGAGCCTGCAGTTGCTGGGCCGCTTGCGCCACCGCTTGCTGCACCTGAGACAATAAACACGCTCTTTCATCATCCTCGTCGATGGTTCTTCCCCTAACTTGCTAGATTCTTTGTACTTATTGCATTTACACTTTGATACTTTTCATACTTTCGATTTTGATAGTTTGCTATTTGTTAGATCGTCTATTATCTTCTGAGTTTCCCGGTTATTGTTATTAGTCGTTCAGCTCGACGAGGCTCGAACGCAACGAAATTAGTGGATCAATCGTTAGACAGTACCTGCATGGACTGTGAGCGCGGATGACTGGGTCTTGAGGCGTAGCCACCGCTCTGCAACAGCCCCTGCAAGACGTTCACGGCCATTGATCAAACTGCTTGACAACGGTCCCGTGTATTTTAACGCTAGCCCATTACAGTTAATTACACTTCTTTGTGATTGAATCGTTCGACGGCTACGCGATCCGTTCACACTCCGCCGGCCGACTATCAATTAGCTTCCGTTTCGCGATTGGCTCACGGCTGACGGATCGTTAACGCGTTCTCCGCTGTGTCGCTAATGCACGCGCGTTCCTCTGCTCGCGGATGAATGGGTGCTCGGGGAAAATGATTTCGGAGGAAATCGAGGGAAAAGGTTCGCGTGATCTTAATGGTTCGTTTGCAGCGGCCTGATGGAGGATCTGTCAATCTATTGATATTGCCGATTATTATATAGGAGTTCGTACTGTAAATCAAAGATCTTAAAGTTATACGATACAAACGCCTGAAATCCTCTTAAATACACAGAAGGTTAACCCTAAGGAACTAACCATCATTATCGGTTTAAGAATAATTCATCACTAACCTACTCAACACAAGAAACACTCTAACTAACATAAGACAGATGACACATCTTTCACTATTCCCATACTTCAAGATCAACCTGCTCAAGCTCAAAATATAGAATCCCCATTAACACTAGAACCACCAAGCAATCAAACTATTTTCAAATTTCTATACAGGAACTCTAAGAACTATTGACATTTCAGTTGACTTACGATTCAGTTTGCGTATTAAGGAATCAATTTCCTCAGTAATTTCGCGGAGTCTGTTATCTTTTTAACAACCGAAGAGAAAGAATATAGGAAGTAAACTTTAGTAGTTCCAGCGTTAATCTCACGCGTGCCGATCAGAATGGAGAACCACGAGCCCATTTCAAGCACTGTAATTTCGCTCGTCGGTGAACGTAACGGTAGATCAAGAGAGATTTCAGTTCGAAAGACGGCGACACGTGTTGCGCCCGTGGACAGGTACAATCGAAAGAGTTCGCTCGAAGGGTGCTGCTCCTGCCGTCGATCGATTATCTTCACCCTTTTCTTAACCAGATGCTCGATCGCGGGAATAAAGGGCTCGTGCGCGAAACGCGGCGCCTGGGGAGCGAAAGGGTTTCCGTGGGCCTGCGGGTCGCGTGTCGCCGCTAAAATGCGTTTATGCTTATAAGAAGACGTACAGATCTACACACAACCCCCTCGGAGGAAGACACGTGCCGCAGGTTGCGGGGAACCGCGATCCACCTGCGCAACCCTTCTCAACCATGGAAATCAGAAAGCATGACTGTTCTTCTCTATTGTTCCCCGATACCACTCGGAATCAGGATTTTCTAAGACCGTAGAAAGCGATGCAACGGCCAGATAGATTAATGAGCACGTAATTAAGACTAATTGAATATTGTTTAGAAATTTAGATACCCTATCAGCGCCATTGTTCCTGTATTATTCCGTTACTCCGAAGGAATACAATGACTCGGAGAACGCTCGAGAATTAATCAGTTTTTGGGACTAGCGGTTTCGCGTTTCGTTATTATCGAGCAAACACTTCAGTGATCTGTTGTTTACTATGATCATTCTAAATATTTCGTTATATATCACGATTCTTAAACAACCTTTCCAATTTCCAAAATTTGTTCCAATTCTCTTTCAATGCATCGTCAGCTCACCGTAAGCTGATCCGAATGAAAATCAACAGCGAAGAATCTTCCCTCACGCGAAATCAACTCGTCGCAGCCGTCAAGCCCAAGACGCTAACGCGACAACTCAAAGGGAGAGGTCCCCGGAATTAAATATCGGTTACAGGCCGAAAAGATTCTTACGCGATGCGTGTAACCTTTGAGAAAGGGTTCGCGTGCAGGTTGCCACTCGACGAAGGGTTGCAGGATGTCGAGGGGGTCGTGTGCGCACCCTTAATTCCCGGACTGTTCCGAAG